CAACCCACAGCTCAAGTTAGCTGAACTAAACCGAGCTGAAATGACTCACTGACAACAGACAGAAGCTGGCTCAGAAATCCAAAGGTTGGCTGCCTGGCATGCGTAGATAAATTGAGTTGAATGGAGCGCTACTGATTGGACTTACAATCCCCAAGCTGCAAGCTGGATTGGCCACCTGTCTCCACACCTCCTCCTTTCCCTCCTCCTCCCAACGTATCTTTCAGATTTTCAATTATGGTTAATCATGCAAATGTTTGTCGCCTGTGAAAATGTTTTACATAATGCAAAGTGAAATGCTGCCCCATTCAAGAGAGTTTCATGCCGAGCAGAGCATTATAGTCCAATGCATACATGAATAATTGTCTTTTTGTATGTCCATCTTGCAGATGCTTCTCGGATGCTGCTCCTGCTGCTCCTGGGATATGATGAGCTGCTGCTGCTGCTGCTCAGGTAAGCCGAGCAATTTTTGCTGCCTGATTTCACAACTCCGACACCAGAGTGTCAGGTTGTGGCACATTCCCTAGCCCCTACCATCATGGTCCTACACCATCTCTCTCTCACACTCTGTGTTCTATTCTGGAGTCTGCTTCGGTTTGGGATTAGAAAACAACCCCCGAAACGTGTCACATTATGCCAAGAGGATAGGTTAGGAAGGGGACATGTCCTGTCCCTCTTGCAACCGATTTTGGTTTCGGGATTAAAGGAGAGAGAATGTCCATCCGAAAGGCATGTATCTTCATTGAGCCAAATGCGAAATACCTGCAAAAGGTAAGTGAGCATTGGAAATGCTGCAATCAAAGGGGATTTGGGTTGGCCAGAGGGATGAAACAAAGTAATTTGAAAGTGGTTAGGAAAATGATCTTTCGGAATCCTCAGGAAATGAACAGGTTCATGAGTTTTGTGATGCCCAAAAGTAATTTGAAATGGATTTCCACTTTATTCTGTTTGTGTATTGTGAATGGTAAGTCAAAGGCACAGAAACATTTCTGCATTATGAAAATTAATATTGCTAAATATATTGTAATATTTCCTATGAGTCGTCCTTTAATCCATTCAATTATATTCCTACAAGATTTGTGCAGTTTCCATGCCGTATTATATGAAATTCCAACTTCGTGCCGACTCTAATGTATTTTGAGGTAATTTATCAACTTTTAATCAAATGTATTTCCCAGGCATATACGTTGATGCTCCCTGCCTTCATATAATATATGTTCGTTGCTCATGCCATTACGTGTTACGCAATCGCCACCCCGAAAATCCAGGAAAACTAGCCCCCTTCTCCTCCTCACCACCACCACTGCCATTGCTGGAAAGCCATGGCTGATCCTTTACAGTTTTTACATGCATTCCCATGCGTATTCCTCCCTGAATTTGAGTGTGTGTGTGTGTGTGTGCCATTTGGCCATAAATTCAAAAAGCTGGCCCAGCTTAAATTTTGGTTTTTCAATTTTTGAATGCCAGACCTCTGACAACCCTCGGACCTCCATGGACCTCCTCCTCCTCCTCCTCGGTGGACCAGCATCTCGCATAGTTGTGCGTGCAACTGTGAAACGTGTTACACAGGACCGGCCAATGTCCTGTTCCCCCCTCCTTACCCTTACCCTCTCTCACCCTCGATCTGTCCCGTCACAAAAACCATGAGATTTCATTTAATTAAAGCATTTAGGCTGGGGTTTTTTGATTTCGACGCCATATGTGCGTTGAATATATTAAATATACAAACACAATCCTTTTCAAAGGACATCAGCCAGGCGGCAGCACCTAAACAAATATGTTAGATTGCCCTCGACTACACAACAACGAGAGAGAGAAGGAAAAAAGTGCAGCTTAAGAAAGGTTAAACAAAGGTTAAGCTCAGAAAGCAAAAGGTTCAAGCCTCAAGGCCCCAAAGCCAACTCATCAAAGTTATTTAGTTAAAATTAGTGCCTGTCGAGGATGTCTCCCCAATATGCCAAAGCAAACAAGACGACTCAGAATCATCCAGCCAAAGAGTCGAATAGCTCGAGGGCCTGGCAAAGGACACGAAAACGGTTTATGGGTATGGTATATAGTGGGGAGACTTTGGGGGACAATGTCGTGCTGCTGACAAGTGCGATGACAACGTCAAAGGCTGGCTCTCCTTCGAGCCAAGACTTCTGCTGCTGTTGCTGCTGGTGCTGCTGCCTTTGCTGCATGCCATGCTCGACTAGCTGCGAGGCACCTTTGGGAAAAAAGACGCTCATCTGGAAAATCAACTTCGACTTTCGGGCCACCCAGGCAACAGCAGCAGCATCAGCATCGCCAAGGAGCCTCTGCAGCAGCATCAACGAACCGCAAATCATAAAATAAACTCTTTAATTACGCCTCACGACTTGCCAAGGCAGACACGCAACAAGCCCAGGCCACAGCCGAATGGAAAATTATGCAAAATGCAGCAGCAGCAGCAGCAGCAGCAGCAGCAACAGCAGCAACAGCAGCAGCAGCAATAGCAGCAACAGCAATAGCAACAACAGCATCAGCAGCATCGCTTGCGGAGAAGCCACTTCCGAAAATGTGAGTAAAATTATAAAATCTTTGGCACGACAATGTTGACGACGACGAAACTGCAAATTACCAAATTATAAACGAACAACAAGCAACAAACTGCTAAGGATAATGAAGGAGAACTTTAAGGAATCGAAACCTTGAGTTCTCCTTAGATTATTGAAAAAGTATTTGTAGAAAACTTTGTTGTTTTGCTAATACGAAATCTATTAATTGAAACCAAGTCAAGTTTTCTATTTTAATATAATTTTCCTTAGAATAATCATTGCGTGTTTGTAATTGAAATGATATTAAGTAGCCTCAACCAAAGAGAAAAGGCAACATAATAAGAAATAATAACTTTATTTCAAATTACAAATGCAAATTAAATAATTGAGCTTAATTTGGGTACATATATGTTTATAAAAATATGTATATATTTGTATATATTTTCTACTAAGCAATTCTTTAAGCTCAATACACTCAATTAATTTTCCAAAAGATAAAATGGAGAGAGTATTCCAAACATTCCCCATAAGATACTCCCAAAAAAAAAACATCATTTAGCTGCCGATGATGAGGCAAAAGTGGTTGGAAAATACCGAGAAAGAAAACCGGGAGGAGGGGGGAGAAAAACTGAAAATGCACTCGGACTCTCACACACTCGGCCCCCTGCTGGAAGGCGCACATTTAAACAACAACCTGTCTCTCTGCACTCCCCCTTTTCGGGCAATCCAGGGAAAAGTGCCCACCTTTCCCGGGGCTTGGCACCCACTCGATTATCACCGAAAAACGATTGACCTCACGAATTCGTAATTAATTTTCACAAAAGTTTTCCATTCGAAGACAAACTTCAAACAAAAGCAGTGCCTGTGTGTTAGTGTTAGTGCTGGTGTGTGTGTATGCGGATTGGTTCGCTTTTCGGGTTCAGTTCAGTTTTTGGGATTGCTTTTGGAGGAGCTGCAACCCCTCTCCCCTGCCTCTCCTGCCTCATTCCTGTGGCTGCCACAATGTTTAAACATTTGAGCGCACACACATCTCTGTGGGGGGTGCAAAGTGAATGCTGTTGCTCATCTGCTCCGGCTCTTTGGATCCCAACTCGAACCCGATCCCGATACCTCTTTCCCTCCCCTGAATCAGTGCCACCTCTGGGCCCTCTTTCACCTTGTTGCTGCTGCTGCTGTTGCCGCTGTTGCTGGTTGCTTAGTTTGCCAGTTGTGTGTGTCGCTTAAGTGCTGAAACAATGTTCCAAGTTGTAAGTGCAACAAAAGCGGAGCCGGGTACATGGCAGGGAACGAAGCCAAAAACCAACTGAACCGAACTCAAAAACTCAACTCAACTCGAATGAAACCTGGAGGAGTGCACCAAAAATAAAGTGTGTAAAAATGAGCAACTTTTTCAAGTGAGAAGCAACTATGTGGCATGCAGCTAGCTGCACGCTCACCACTGCTGTTGCATCTCGGGCGACAACGACGACAATGACGGGCAGATATTGGTCGGGAATGCACTGGGAGAAATATATTATATACTTATACATTTACAAAATAAAAATATATGTTATACTATTGTATTTTACTTTAAACTTTAGATATAGTTAAAAGAAATCACATATTTCTATTTAAGAGATTTAGTATAATTAAAAACTCATTAAATCAATAAGTAATTAATGAAACATCATTTAAAATATATGTATTTTTAAATTTTCCAGTGATCCCTTAAAACCTTATTTTTGATATCAGAAATTTATAATTTTTCAGAATATTTGCTAATGAATGACTGCTGACAATCTCTGGGGAGATATTTTTCCCCTGTAGAACAACAACTTGCAAAGATACAAAAATTTTCACTCGTAATGTACCCTCCTCCTCTCCTCTTTTCCGCCCACACTTGCCCCGCTTTTCCCTCTACCATGTAAGTGTGTGCACAATTTTCAAACTGGCAGCGTAAAGTGCACAAATTGCAATTGTAGCTGGGGCGCGGGAATCAGGACAAGACTGAAACAGGGCGGGCGACAAGGAATTGGAGGAGGAAAAGGAGGTAGGAATGAAGGAGGAGGAGCTAGAGGGACACACTGGAGAGGAGGAGGAGCTAGAGGGAGCAGGAGGAGGAGGAGGGGACAGGACAGTGGGGCGGAAAGTGGCATCTAGAGTGTGTGTGTGGAGGCGTCGTCGATTGTAGGCCCATGCCTACAGCCAGACATGGTGGGCTCTTCAACTGCTGCAAACTACAGTGACTGCAAAAAGTACTCCCCTGTACAGTGAACACTTGACGTCGGGGCCACAAGACATTAATTACAGCGCTCAAGAAAAGAACCAACAAATGGCAAAGTGAATTAAAAGGAAGGGCTCACAAAAGTGGTAGCCTATATTGTAAAGAAAAATAGTAAAGACAGTATTAAAGGCAAAGTCTGCTAATTAAAATAAACTAAAGTCGGAAAAGAAATAAAATTAAATGCTAATAATTGATATCTTATTTAATATTTGAATCAAACTTACCTATACATTGAATATCACCATTGCCTTCTGTGTGCCAAAGTCTCTAAGCAAATAACTGAAATAAGGAGAATATTATTAATTATTAAAAGATATAATAATTAAAAAACTAGAATTTAATATTTCATGGAGATTGTATTAGACATTTAGGAGAATCCGTTTTCGTTTGTTTTTTATTTTCGGTTTTTTTTGCTAAAACTTTTTGAAATAAAACGAAATAGACAAACAACCTTCTGAACTTGTCTTCTGACATAAACAACCTGTGTGGGATCTTGCAAATAGTTGTTGTATACTTTTAATGATACCAAAGTTGGCAATAATATAATAAAATAAATTAAATAATTGTTTTTCCTAATCTTATATCTGCAAAAATAGGTACTCGTTCTTCTTAGACAATAAACCATAAAGATAAATGGTAAATAGTACTTTTAAACCTATTCTCATCTCTTTAACTCTAACAATATTGATGTTATTAATTACAAATTTTACATTTACCCTAATCAAAGTCTTTTTAGAGTATTTGAAATCTCCCAAAACCCCCAGATCCTACTTATCTCTCATTTTTCAGTAGGGTTTTGTGCTCAGCAAATGCAAAGTGCAAGTCCAAGGCAACCCCAGCACCATGTACATTGACACTTTGATATGATTGCAAGAGGAGTAAAGCTGTGAGATGCCAGAAGGTGTAGGGAACCAGAACTAAACTCCTACTAGGAAGGAAGGTGGAGAGAACTTGATAGACGACAGACCAGAGGAGTCTTGTGGTTAGTTTCACCAACCAAAGTTTCATTTCGGGCCATCTACTTCTCTGCACAAGAACACATCAGTTTACAACTTCTGGTCAGTTCGTCGTGTTGGAGCATGAAATGACGTTGCACAAAAATCGCTCGAAACAACAGGGGGCATGGACATTCCACTCTTAAAGGTGCAAAAACCTTAAGTGGAGCAAAATATGTATACATTTTCAAAATGACAAAGTTGATGAGGTGTTCTTTCGGGGCGTTGGAAAATTAATTTTCGGCTGGGATGACATTCAACTCATTGCCCCTTTTGTACCGCTCACTTGCCAGGAGCCTTTGTTGTGTGACTTGTAACTTTAGTTTGTTGTCTGGGGCACTCACAATTTCGCTCTAAAGTTTAATTTCAACGCTTGACTTGGAAAGTTTTTTGCCAGCCAACCCAAGTGACAGGATACACCAAGGAAAATTGGGTATCTTTAGATATTGAATAGAGTGTTTTTTTATGTCAGGAAAAGACACGAGACCAGTATTAGTCATATAGCCCTACAGCGAGACATTGGTCCTTCGAGCCGGACAATCCTTTCGAGGTCTTCACTTTAAGATTATGTTATAGCTTCATCTTTCTATAATAAAGAGACTTAATTAATGATTTTGAATTAATCATATGTATGAAATGGATTTTTCTTCTCAGTGCAGAGTCAGAAAGGTTGAGGCAAAAGTCGAGCGCGAACTCAAAGTCGAGCTGAAGCTGAAGCTATTGCTGAAGCTGAAACTCCTTCTGGCCAAGTCGACACAAATTGCAGCAAAGTTTTTTGGCATTCAAGTGTTTTAATGTCTCACGAGTTGTTGTGGAGTCACAGACTCTTGGCCCTCTTCCGCACTTCCCTCACTCCATAGTCACACACAGTCCACACACTCCGCACTCTCCACTCCACACATGAATTAATCAAAGAGCAGCAGCAGCAGCTGCAGTTGTGTGGCATTAAGTACGTGGATAGTAGACATGCGGGGCACAGCGCAGGTGGGTTAAGACCGAAAGACCGCAAGGCGGTGGCGCCGCTAGACAAATTCAACTTAATCAATTTAAAGTGCTTACCGCAAAGTCAACAGTTCAAACTAACCGCAACAGGAGGGCGAGAGGCAAGGCAAACAGGGCTGAAAACGCTTGCCCGCCCATAGTCATACCCTGGTACCCTATACCCCCTTTTTGGTCCTGGGTTATTAGGCAAATTGTCGCCACATAGATACACACTCACTCACACAACAACACACAAGCAGGAGCACAGCAGGTTGTCGTTGACCAACAAGTGACCAAGGTTCAGTTTTACCCCCCATGGACGGTCAAGTATCCCTTACACTTTGTTTTTTTCCTGTCTTGGCCCACCCCCGCTGCTCGCTGGCGGTTTCCTTGTCCTTTGTTTGCCAACGTGTATTTGTGTTTACTCTGCTGTCAACATTGGAAAATTATGAAAATTAATATGAAAATTGTTGCTATTTACGGCTAGTTTGCCTTGTTTGTGTGTGCGTGCGCCTGCTCACTCTCTCGGGTTTCAAGTGGGGCAATTGTTGGTTTTAGATTTAATTACTTGAGTCAACTTGAGCCTTAATTTGATTGAGTATAATGTGACATCGCTGTGAGGGGGCACCATTTACCCAGCCAATTTGGCGGACTTACGCACGGGAAGGACCCTCGAGCGACCGAGAAAAAAAAACAACAACAAAAACATCCTTGAAGCGGCCTGCGGATGCAAATCGATTGAGAACCCTAACAAAAAGTAAACACGCACACACTCGACATTTGCATCTTTGACAGCTCTATTGTTGGTCCTTCATCCTGCTCCTCGACTCGCATCCTGCCACGCACTCACTTACAATATGCAAGCGAAATAAGGGGGAAAACTGCATTGATTGCAACGCAGGATATGCAGGGGAACTTACAGGACCCCTTAAGGGCAATCGAAGATGTAAATGCCAACCATATGAAGGGTACATAATTTTTAAACGGTTTGGGAATAAAGTTATTTCATGTTATTATTGCAACATGTTGGCACAGTTTCGATTTACCTAAGCCTTTCAACTTTTATTACTTTTGTAAGCTCCACAACAAATTACAAAAAGGATTATCTTGGAATTTTCTCCAAACAAAGGAGCAGTAAAATCATTCAAATAAAATCCCTGTACAGCAATAAAATCATAAATCCCAACTAAAAATGTAACAACAACATTCACTGCAAAAAAGGAGCTCATATAATATAGTCGTTATACTTTCTAAGCCACTTAAGCGTAATTTTTATTGTTCGCCCCAAAACTAATCCCATGTCAATTGTCAACGCTGGCGCTCAAGACACTTAAATGCAGATTATGCATGTCAAATGGGAAGCCCACACTTCAAAATCAATTAGCAGAGAGGGAGCTTTTTCAAAATAATTTAGAGGAGAAAAAAAAAGAGAAGCAAAGAACAAACATGTGGGCCAGCACTGGAGTTGCCATTAAATGCTCGATTATAATGACAATTGACGGCTGCAATAAAACCAAATTGCCTCGTCAAATGCTCAACCAGCTGGACTAAAGCCAGAACCGGGCTTGGGTTAGATGAGCTTCAGTTAACTCTCCTTGGCCTCCTCCTCCTGTATTTACTCTCATAATTTATATGCATTTATGAGCCACGCTGGACAGAGACAGTTTTTATGGCAATTTTATTTCCTGCAGGCAAATAAAGCAACTCCCCACATTCAAACTTCAACTTCATTATCGCGTTATCGCAATGCATTTTGCTTTCACCTCGCCCCCTTGCTTGATGTTGCTGCCGTTGCTGCATTATCGTGATTGCTGTAGTAAATGTTTTTTATTTATTATTATTATTTACAAATGCATTAAACACAATATTTAATTGCATCATAAAAAAGCGGCAGTCTGTCTGGCCCAATATAATACCCCATGTCTCTCACTCTATATATTTTCCACGATCCCTTTTTTCCAATGGCAATTGAACTTTACTGTAAACAGTGGTCGCCCGCTAATTGACATATTGATTAGGAGGTACTTATGATTCTCATTTGGGAATTATTAATGAAAATTATAATTATTATTTAAATACTTGAGGGATTTTTAAGGGTTTCTGGAAACCAGATAAAACATATGGTTAGAGCTATCTGAAACGCCGCCTCCTCAGTACTCATTTCTTGCTAAAAAAAAAAAACACTGAATTTGAACTTGAGAACTTAAAAGGGCACCTCCCTCAACAACTTACGCTAATGTCGGAAAAAACGTTGTTATTTCGCAAATTAATTTCCTTTTTTGTTGTAAAATTGTTTTTAAATTTTTATATTTGTTTTTCTGTATACCCGTAACTGTACTGTGGTACCCGTAACCTCCTTATACTAATTCTTTGTTGCAAACTTAATGCTGAATATGTACTTGAGAATTTTAAAGGAATTTTCGCTTAATTTGGTAAAAATGTTATTTTGCAAATTAATTTCATTGTTTTCTAAGTTTTGTTATAATATTTATATAATTGTTTTCCTATATTTTGTACTGGTAACAGTAACTTCATCAGTACTAATTTCTTGCTACAAACTTAACGCTAATTTGTACTTGAGAATTTTAAGAGCACCTCCATCAACAATTTACTCGTCATGTTGGTTATTTAATTTCCATTTTTTCTGTAAAGTTTTACTTGTATATACGTATATTATATATTTTTCCTATATTTTGTAATTTGAGTGACCACTGTACCTGGTTCTAGGTGCTCGGTGTCTGTTTATATTTGTCTCTCTGTTTTGTTTGCATAGTGCAATGCTTATCGCAAATGCTTTTCCTATATGCGTGTGATATTTTTATGAGTTCTTTTGACCCGTACCCTTCAGGTTTTCCCCCGTCTATATTTTCCAGTTTCGATTTCGGTTGCCGTCCCCCCTCATTGTTGTTTTTCCTGGCGGTTGCTCGATGTTGCTGTTGCTGCTGCTGTTGCCGCTGCTGTCGATGTTTGCTGTTCACAGTTTTTCGTTATTATTTACACAATTGACCCTTTCACACCCGAAAACTCATTGAACTTCATCAGCAACATCTACAGCGGCAGCAGGAGCAGTGTGCTGCAGTTGAAGATATTGCTCACGTACAGCTCCCCGCCTCTTAATCCCTGCCAGTTTGGAGTTCAAGTCTTGGGCTCAACTGTAAATAGTCATAAATGTTTTGTTTATGTTTACAATTTAGCTGCTGCTCTTGCTCCTGCCAATGTTGCTGTTGCTGCAGTTGTTGCAGTTGTTGCAGTTGTTGCAGGCACTTACTGCAGTTGCTCTTGCTGCTTGTTGCCGTGTTCCTGGCGCAGTTCGTGACTTCTCTAATGTTGTTGACGTGGTTGTTGCAACATGCTTCCCCATTGCTCTGGCCGCGGCCTAAAGATTTCTGAATTGGTAATGGAGCATGTGCAGTTCAGTGAGGTGAGCTGCATTTTATTGCTATCTAAATCGCTGACTCTTGGCCATGTATGTGGGGCCAACGGCAACCGAGCTGGTCCGAGCTGTCTCCGATTTTTATTTGCTTTTAATTTGACTCGAAACGGGGCTTAAATGTCAAGAGTTAGTTGTTCGTTCGGCCTGTAATCCACATAAGCACATAAGCCACTCTGGACGACTCTGCAACTCTGTGCTTTTGTTATTAATGTATTCAATTAAGTAACGGCACAACAATTAAACTCATTATGCATATGGCGGGGAAATGCAATGCAAATAGCCCCAAGCCCACCACTAAACACTATTATTATAGCCGGGCAGCGAAAATAACTGTCGCTGCCTAACCTAAAACAAAAACTCCAATCGGGCCAACATTAAAAGCATCATTAAATAAATTATAGCCCAGCGCCCAAAGCAATAATGACATAAAAAAAAACAACCAAATAAATCTAACATGAATTTTGTTGTGTAAACAAGGCTTAATTCATTTGTTGTTTTTATTCAGTATTTAAATGGATGTAAACGCCAAAAGAGGAGGAGAACTGTTAAGCCTAATGGAAGTCATAAATAATATATACAAATTTAGAGGTTAAACTAATGAAGCTCTGAGCTAAATGGTAAATTTTAGAAGACTTAACAACGATGGGAACGATGGAAAGAATGGTTATTGAAAAATGTGCCAAAGCACATAAATTGAACACCATTTCGATATATATTTTTCTTCCATCTACCACCTATCTCACCTGCACTTGACATTTAATTATCAATTAGCTAGGCCGCATCCTCCGAAATAAGCTTATAAATATTTTAATTAATTTACATTGTCATGCATTTTTCGGCCATTCTTTAGCCAGGTGTCAGTCAGTCAGTCGTTCAGTTCAGTCACTGACAGTCAACTGTGGCATATATAATTTATGCAAACTATTCCCATTTGAAAGGCATCGGCGAGAGAAGCGTGAATTTATTTATAATTTATATGGCAATTAAAAACTAATATTGTCAACTCCCACACAGCACGGCTGCTGCAATATTCAATTGCAAATTTATGCAAATTTTTAATTTCAGTTGACAACGACTAAATTGTAGAGGAGTATGGGCTTTGGCAATGTTTTGTTGTAGTTTTCGAATTTTTTGGGGGTTTTTATTGCATTTTTGATGACAACTCGGTGGGCATAAATTAAATAATTAAGTTAATTGTACATACGGGCAATGTGATTTTAATTATTTAATTCGAAACTCTGCATAACTTATGCTAAATTGTATTTTATTCTGTTTTCAATATCCGATGTGGTTAAAAAATTGCTTTGCTTTCTGCTTTGTTTGACTCATCGGGGGTCCATGATTAATGACATTTAAAATGCTTTTTCTCATGATTTAGATAAGCCAAACTGAACGATTTAGTCTGGTTCTTTGTCCCTCCGACTGTATATTTTTGTTTGCATAATTAATGTCGCTCGCATTTGTTACAAGTTTTGGTTATTTGTCTTGCTGCTTGGATTAATTTTACCCCTCGATCTAATTTAGCTGAATTGCCTGGAACTGAGTCGATTCAAAAGGGGCTTAAAGGGGCTTCTTCTTAAGGCTGTCGGTGGGCTTAACAACTTTTTGACTGCCATTCGATGAAGTTTGAGCCATGATAATGACATTGAGCTTCAGAGGGATTATTATGATTGTAATATAACTTTATAAAGATTTTTTCAAATTGCTAACCAAATTTTGTTAATAATATTTCACATTCATTTTGGAATTTCTGTTTCATTGATTAAGAGGTGTGAAAACGAAATCATTCAAGTGTAGCAATCATAAAAATACATATGTTCGCCTTTCTTTGGGTTGTGCCATAAATGTTATTTTATATTGCCCAACCTGGGTGCGACTTCTATATGGTCTTCTTCACGGAGTGTGAAGCTACTCCAGAGCTCCTAATTAATATAAACAGTTTGTGAACTAACACCAAACACTCGCCGCTAGAAACGAAGGGGTGTTTGGCATTTCCTGTAATTTGTCGAGCGCGGAAATTGCTGGCTTCAGTTTTTCCTTCTTTCTGTATTTTTTTGGGGCCTTGTTGCATATTAATTTAAATATAATTATGATAATTTTTATTGTCAGGAGGTGAGGCGCGGTGAAGTAAAGTGAAGTGAAGTGAAGCCTCTTGCCACATGCTTCGCCTTGACTTTCCAGAATGCCCTGGGCAAACAACCAACCCTTTCCACCATCAGAAAGGATTAGTTATTGAGTTATTTTCACAACTAAAGTAACGACAGCCAGCAGGCAGCAACGGAAAGGGCGAACGAACCCAGAAACCGAACCAACTGACGCGGTTCAACAACATCTTGTGACTGACATTTGTGCGTCAAATTAAGTGAACTCTTTTTTTTTCTCCAAGAGGAGGATCCGCCAGAGACAGAGCAGGAGGAGCACATGGTCAAGTCGAGCTTCCTGCCAGCCTCGATCCCTGAGTGACTGTGACTGTTGTTGTCTTCGGCCTGTCCCCTGCATTGCGTAAACTATAATTAATAACAAAACATGTTATGGTTATGGCTGCCGCTTCTGCTTCTTTGTGTGCCTGAAAATTGTTTCTTGTGCCCCGAGCCCAAGGCATGAGGCCACAATTCACCCAGACCCAGGCACAAAAGCGGTTCTCGTTTCTCGATTCTTTGGGTTCGTTTTTTAAAACTCAGATCCAGACCAAGACCGAGACCGAGACTGTCGAGATCCGAGAGCATTTTTCGGGCTGCTCAACATATGTTATGCATTTTTTAGTTGTCTTCGGCATTCAAAAAATTATGTAGCATTTAATTAGCGCATAATTGCAGCATCAGAGGCAGCATTCAGGCACAGGCCTCATCAATTTCAATCGTTGGCGTGTTGAAAAATCTTTTAATCCGCTCGGGAAAGTATTTTTCAAAGTAATATTTTAGATAAACGAAGTTGAAAATACTCTACTTATTCTAGCAGATAAATATACTTACATAAAAGTTGTATTGTGTTTATTTTGAACTTGAGAGTTGGTTCTGGAATCTGGAAGAAGAAAGGAAATCAAATATATTACATTTTTATTTTGTACAATTTTATTATTTCTATAAAAATCTGTCTTAAATCATATAAGAGGATTTTAATTTCTGCAACTTTACAGAAAAGGCTTTACCAAAAGCGAATTTCGACATGTTCCAAAGACAAACTTTTGGTCATAATTATTTATCCCTCTTGCAACAAAAAGGGGCATACACAAAAAATATAATCATAATCCGAAGCCCTTTCACCAAATCCGTTTGCTACTTACAAGGGCGCAGGCTCAACCCCAGTCAACCGCAAAAAATAAAAAATAATAAAAACCAAAAAAAAAAAGAAAGAAAGACTGTCGCTTGTCAAAATGTCTGCAATTCCGTGAATTCAACTCATTCTGCTGCCGCCTTCTATGTGTGCGTCATTGTCTAAGGATGCAATTGCCGAGGACGACGAGGACGAGGACGAGACGACGACGACGCACAAGTTCAAAAGCAGTCAACAGTTCCGCTCGTTCCTGTTTGAAACTCCTGGTTCGTCGTCATCCTCTGCCACATCGTCATCATTACAACATCATCATCATCATCGTCATCCTTATCCTTGGCGAATTTCATGCCTTGTCGTTGCAGTAGTTCCTTGTGGCTTGGCAAATACTCAACAAACCATGAAAGTAAATAAATGTTTTGCAACGTTGCAGAAATAAAATGCAATTTAAGTCACACAAAAATGGCTAACAACAGTACACGGCAAGAAATTTTGTTAACATTTGTTGATCTGTTTTAGAGAAGGTACTATTACTTTTGCATATATGCTATACAAAATTATATTTGATTAAATTACTTAACTTTTATGTCTTGTGACCTATTGTTTCTTATTGTGAAGGGTTTCAGTTTGTCTGCTCAGGAAACAGGATTTAGACTAGTTTCAATCGAGTTTTAACTTCAATCTCATAAGTGAACATATTTTGCTAAGATTAAACCTGCTCAACCTGACTTAAATTTAGGTATCTCATTGCAAAAATAAAATCAATAGTTTTATACCTTTTTTAAAGAACTTTATAGGTGAAAATGCTAAAACTAAATAATAAGAACTAATTCGAAAATATTATAATTTGTCATTTTTTTTCTGTGCTACAACTAAAACGTATCTGGAACGTTGCAGTTCGTGAAGGAGCCTGGAAAACTCGAGGTCCTGGGCTGCATTCCTGCCTTCCTTTCCCATTTTGATTTGTTTATTTCGTTTCGCTCGGCTCTTATTTTGTATTATTCCTGCTGCTGCTCCTGCTGGTGCTGCTCCTTTTTTTGCTATGGCAGTTAAAGTAACCGGGAAAAGCGTTCCGGGGGCTTCGAACTTTTGCATTTTATTATGTTTTTCTTTTATTTTCTTTCATTTCGTGGTTTTTTGTTTCTATTTTTATTCGTTTTGGCACAAAGAAAAGTGAAATGTTTTTGGGCGGTTGGGCATTTGCTTTGGATTTTAGAAGTTCTCGCGGGGGAGCATCGTTGCAATTGCATTTCCACAGACATTTAATAGCGACAAACAAAAACAAAAACAAAAAACTGGAAAACGCTTTAAAATAATTACATGCGAGAATTTCCCCCCTCACCAGGAACAAACAATGGAGGAGTAATCGTAAAAAGTTGAGAATGAATCACCACCAAACTGGCATCATTCACAGTAAAAAAAAAAAAATAAAGGAGAATTTGGGCATCATTCAAAGTCAAAGAAGTGAGCATTTGTTCGGTCACAAAAGATCAGAGCGCCGAAACGAATTAATGGATCAACGATCTTATCAAGTGAACAGAGCGAAACCAATTGAGCCGAGTGAAGAGAGTGTTTTTTTTCCTTTTGAACTAACCTCTTAAAATTGAGTCTAGGTCTAGGTGTCTATCTAGATTATACCACATGTTACAATCAGGTAAAGAAGGATTTACCAATGTTAATTCAACTTTCTTTTCTAAGGTTTAAAGTTAGGTAGTTATTTCCTATACAAATTTAATTGCAAAGTGCCAAGTGCAATTCTCGCAAATGCACTTTATCTTTCGCATGAGTATTTCCCTCTTCAATCAGCCATATCCATTACACATCCGTCCCAAGCTGTGAATGATTTAAGTGATTCGGTGTGCCTATTGTATTATTTTCAGTCCCACAACTCTCTCTCTCTCTCTCCTCACCCACCTTCTACTGAAATGCAGAAGAACTGCAATAAAACAAAATAAAAACAAAAACAAAAAACAAGAACCAAAACAAAAACTGATGAAAAAACAACACACACAAACATGAAGGAAAAGTGCAGTGCAGCAGCGAATGCCAGACGAAACGGAACAATAATTAAAGCAATGGCAAAAGCAACAACAACAACAACAACAACAAAAATTCTGAAACACACAAAATAAACAAAAAACATAAATACAGAAATAACAACAACAACAAGTGAACAACAACAGGAAAGAGGTACAAGAGCTGCCAAGAAGGAAGCAAAAATGCAACGCAAAGCTCTCTCTCTTTTTTTGAGCAAGGAGATACGGGTCCTCACGCCTTTCTCCTGGCAGGATGGGCAGGATTCATATACATGCTTTAATAGGGAGGGAATTCCTAAAAAAGGGTTGCAAGATGCAGCCCAAGGTCTCCCTCTATAATGCGTTGCATCGTGTCCTTGTATCTCCAATACATAGGGTATATTTGTTGAAGATGATTAAAGAACAAGTTGGATGTATCTCAGCGAAATTTAAGAGAAAATTTAAATTAGCTATGCAAAAAATGTTTGTATAAAAAACAGTATGAGAGTACTTTAATATTATAATATTTTATCATATTTTGTTTGTTTATAATATTTTCCGATATATTTTCATCCAAAAACCTTTAAAATATAGCTTGTTTACTAATATCTCCTAATAGAGCGATTTATATTTTTTTCGAAATATTTTTATGCAAAAATGTTAATGAAATCTCAAAAACATACTAATAAAATATGTAAATGCTTTTTTAAAGACAGTTACCATTTAAATTAGCTAAATATAAGTGGTTGTATATAAAGAATAAGGAAATTATCCTGATTATTGTTATATTTTATGTTTTATAATTTTTCAATTTATTATCGTTTAAGAACCTTAAAAAATATAACTAATTTACAAAACCGAAATATTTTCATCTAAAATAATCGGTAATATATCATAATTACCAGGTATCCCCCTAGTTGATCCCCTCTACATTATCTAACATCCCGACGTTGTTGTTGTTGCTGGTTGTTGTTCGGTTGTCATTGATGCCCCCTCCCCCCATCAACATGTTGTTTTTGCTATCCTTATATAATATTTTTTGTACTTTTTGCTGATGATCCACCAGCAGGGCCAACGCCAAGGCAAAAATCAGTGCAAAAGGCGACGTCGCCGGGTGTCGTTTGCAGACAACTTGAAAAACATGAAAACGCGAGGGGCTCCCACCGGCTACCTCCTATATAGAGTGCCCCTACTACACCCTACAGTTGCAGCCACTCCCCCTTTTCCTTCTATTGACAGTCACGTCAGTTAAACTGCTAGGAACACACACGCAGCAGGGAAGAAGACACAGGGCGTTCAGTACAATAGGTTTGCAGTGTTTTGCAACTGTTTTTGAAATACGAAATTTAAAATTCTTGTTACTTTAATATTTCTTAAAGGAATATTGAAAACTTATATAGTTTCGCGACTGAAATCTTGAAAATTTTATAAAATTTAAAATAACAAGTTATTAAGCTACCAAATCTATTCAACGCTTTCATTATTTCTATTTTCTTGACCCCGTCTGTTGATAGGAAGACACCCAGAGATTTCCCAGACAAGCAGGTGGCAAAGGCTTCGGGCCAACAGAGAATCATGAGGCCAACATCATGAGCCAGCTTCGGTAATTGCTGTCCGGGCCAAATGCAAATGCTGTTGCCTTGCGTGTCTAGATTCCCGACTTGGATGCTGCATGCTGCATATAACATGGTGCTGGCTCTGGCTGTCCTCGTCCCTGTTGGCCTCGAATTATGTTGTTCTTCCCGGGAATTGTTTGGCCTTCTGACAGAGTCTCTCCCTCCCAGGCCGCCACAGAAATACCCACTGCCACCCTCTTGGCTGGAATATGATTTCAATTAGAGTTCTTTCTAAGTGATTGTGGCACTCAAAAGGGATTAATGATGTAGTTTTTTAGTTATTAGAGTTGAAAAATGTTGTGTTTTACTTAAAATTTGAACTTAAAATGTACTATTTGAGCAATATTTAACCATTGAATTATTTTACTATTTAAAAGAAGGAAAAAAAGAAGCTAAAATATTTGAAACAAATGTTTTTCCTTATATATGAAAAACATTTATATGTATATATTTGAGTCTGGATATATATTAAGAATGTATAATAATATGCCGTGTTCTCTACTCTGATTTATTTATTTACCATGATTTTTATTAAGTTTTATGCTATTTCAAAATGCGGTATATTTAAAGATAAATCACAAAGTGACCTTATATAATTTATTGTCATTACTAAATATTGTTTTACTGTAAAACTGTAATGTGTAAATATTACTTCAAGACATGTCTAATTCCAAATGCTAAATACATTAATGAATGTTACTTATTCGATGGTAACAAATTAAGTAAATAACCGCATATTAACCAATAATAATACACCAAACAAATAAATATACAAAAAACACATTCATACTCCAATTTGGTGAATCTTAGACAAACATTATCCCCAGAACCCTATCCATATTGCTCCTCCTGGCGGCGAATGGCAAAATATGGGCTTAAACAAATTTATTTATAACACAAATTAAATAACTCAGAGCAATGGACTTGACTCTGGCTGCCACTAAATTTGCTGGGCAAATGCAATTTGCAGATTTACTAACCCCCAGCAGCAGCAGCTTCAGCGGGAGCAGAAGATGAAAGCAGAGCTGGACTTGCAGTTGGAGAAAATTGCAATTGCAATTACCAAAGCGGAGAAAGAGGGGAAGGTGCAGGAGGAGCAGCTCCATGCCACGAGTAAAACAACTAAACCACGCCGAGCGACGACAGTTTGACTTGCAATTTTAGCTGCACCAGCAGACCCCAGCAGCGAAATCAGCGAAACCGTGGCCGCCGCATCATCCCCATCATCATCATCAAAGGAATCATCATTAACAGCATCATCATTAACAAAGGAAGTGGGGTAAATACAAGCTTTTTCGACTATACAATACTCGGTGCTGCAATCTGTAGCATTTTTTATTTTACTAATTTTATACTTTCAATCAGGAATCAACCAAAAATATATACACGTATAAATATAGTTAAATTTATAATCCAAAATATACAAATATATCATATATAAATTCAATTTAAAAGTTTATGTACAATTCCTCTCTTACATTTCGATGGCCAAATGCCACATACCCTTGCAATCTCTAGGACAAAGTACTAAAACCGCGCGCGCGCCTCGACCATATCCATTACTGGCCAAATAAGAGCAGGCACAGGGAATGAAGAAGGATGAAGGGTCTGGGGATCGGGAACTGGAGCGGGAGGATGGAGGACGAGAACGAGAATGAGAATGATGCGATGTGGAGCAGAGGGCCGAGGACAGCGAGTAGTTGTTGGCCCTGCGGCTGCTCGGCCTGGCCAAGTTTGCGAGAAAATCGATTTGAGCCTGCCTGCCTGCCTGACTGTGCCTGCGCTCGCACGGGCGGCCTTTTGGATGCGAGTGTCCAGGTTTCAGTCCCAAGTCCCCAGGTCCAGTACGAGTCCGAGTCCGAGAGGCCCAGTCACAGTCCCATTCGCAGTGCCCGGTCCTCAGTCCCATTGCCGTTCCCATTCCCAGTTGGGGAGTTTTACTCCTGTTCGCTTACACAGGAAAATAATTCTGGCTAACAAAAGATTAGACTAGGAGTCTTTTTGAAACAAAATTGCTTACTTTTTTTTGCTTGCTTTTTAAATTAAAATACAGGCTTGTAATCAATTAAAGTAACTTTAATTGCATAACTTCTTTGTTAGGACCTTTTTTGGCTACCAACTAACCTATCACAGAATTTTATATTATCAATAATTCAACATTTTATTCCCAAAATGATCCATCTAAACATCCCAATTTGTTACTATCATTTATATATATATTTTGTGCAGTGTCCATCTGTTTGTTTGTTTGTCGCTTTTAATGCTGAACGTAGCTGGCGGAGGCGACTCTTGACTGATTTTTATGCTTTTGGCCCAATTGCCCCGCTGTTGCCGCCACGCTGGACTCTGAGAGCGGCCTCCAATGGCCATCGACCGGTTCTCTCTCCCTTTTGGCCGGGCTTACGCCTCCGATCCACTCGGTCCCGCCACCCCCTGCAGGCCACCCATTAGCGGCCCTTTGTTTGACTTGCAGTTGCAATATAAGGTCATTCCTCTGCTCTTGTTCTTGCCGGTGCTGTTTTTTTTTCTTTTCGTTTTCTGTGCCGTTGCCGTTGCAGTTGCACGCTTTTCGTTTCGTTTGATGGCTGCGCACGCGGCCTTTTGTTAGTTTTCCCCATCCAATTTCCCCTTTTTTTCTTGCATTATTATTATCTTCTTTCGTATACTCTTTAGGGGAGCGAAATCGGCGAATCGCGGCCTAATCACTTCATTAGGCGGTATCTACCCACCCCTTTTGGCCATGTTAACACGTTGTTCCGCTGCAGCAAGTTGCACGAATCTTTTAGGGGATAAAAGTGTAAAGGCAAAAAGTGGTCTTTAATTGAAAAGTGTGGAAAGAGTAAATGCTACAGCGACTTTTGCTTTTATTTGGGAACTTGCCACTTTTTCTTTAATATTTTCAATATTTTATTGAAATTTAAATAGCAAAATCCACCTTCTAAACTTTGTATACAAACACTTAATGAAGCCCTTCTATTCATAATTTCATTATCAACTCAAATAACTAAACACTAAAATACCTCATTAAATCGTTTGCAGGTTTCAGCCATTTCAAATTAACAAATAGCCTGCAGCGTGTAAAAAGTAAACTCCTGTGTGAAAATGAAAACTTTAAGCTTCTGATTTGCGAACCCGCATTGTATTTGCCTAAAGTTTTCTCACAATTGTGCGGCAAACGACAGCAGCAGCCAGCATCAGGTGCTGAGGAGGCTTCGCTCGCTTATCGCATAATTGGTAGCAATGTTGGCTGCCACTTTTTGCGCCGCGGCTTCTGTGGCCCGAACCCTGGACTTCTCCGTCTCCCGTCGCATTCCAGAGATGCCGGCAAAACACTTGTCAGCGACTTAAATGGCGCGCAGCTGTGCGGCATTAGCTGGGGAGCTCTGGAGCAGCTAAGGAGCTGAAGCTGAGGAGGCCACTGTGGAGCCAAGGGAGCTGAGCTGAGTAAGCCAGGTGAGAGGGCGAGGGGCTGACCAGGCTGGTGGACACACCTCTTAAGGAGGTGTTGCAACCGCTGCTCCGCTCCAGAGGGCAGAAAGGGGGGACGGGGTTCAAGGCGGTCCAGTGGCGACATTTGATGTGATTATTGAGTTATGCCCACGGGGGCAGGTGCCTGGCATATTTCGCTTAATTTTCTGATGAAGTTATTCACCGAGATATGGAACGCAGCGAAAATGTACAAGTATTATAAGCAGAGAGATAAGCGGCCGAACAAGAACGCAAAAGAGGCTGAGCAAAAGGGTGTGTTCCGCGGATTTAAAAATAATCGCTTTGCCATCTTAAAAAGTAAGCAATTAAATTGTTTATTTTGACACTTTTGCGACAGGTACTTGAAACATTTCATTGGTGCTGCACTCTCTATATTTATTATAAACAACATAATATTCTTATTCGTTTGAGAATTTTGGTTTTTTATATATTTTTCTGAAAGGGGGTTTTATTTTAGATAACTTTCACCTTTCCTAAATAATTGAATTTACTTTGGAATAAAATAAATCTGAAAATAATGTTCTAGAACAAATTCAGGAGGTTGAATAAAAATAATAGATATAGGACTTGATGACCATTAAATTAACATTGACACCTCGGAAAATAAATTTAATTTAATTTGTAAAATAATAAATATTAGCTATATTTCCTACACGTTTTGTAGAAGTTACATCAACTCCGGAAAATTACATTTAGAAAACAATTCTGTATCAGAACTTGCAGTTAATTTTTAACTTTTATTATTTAAATGTAATCTTCTATTTAATATGAACAGGGCATACATTTCAAAAAAAATTTGCAGGCATACATTTCACAAAATAAATTTGTAATTTTATAATAAATAAAAATAAATAAATAAGTGTAAAATGCATTTTAATTATAACATTTCAAAACTCACTAATATGAAAAGTTCACCTTGGAAATTTTTTCTTATAAAAATTCTGTTGTTAATTATAGAGATTTAACTATCTAATTAACATTTTTAATTTGCAATTTCAAAAGAAATTGTAATCTATAAAACTCACTTCTAACGCAGGATAATAATGATAATATTCATTAGGAAATGGCAGAAGGAAGCGCTGCATAAATAATTAACATTTGTCAGGAAATCCGTGGGCAGAGGAACAATAAAAAGCGAGCAAGGAGTCAGATTAGATGAGGGAATCGAAAACAGCAGGCACTACAAAATCACCGACAACAACTACAACAACGATGGCAGAAGGAGAAGCAGGAAAAAAAAGAATAACAACTACAACCCCAGAGGATAGGATGAGAATGGGAAAGGAATAAAAACATAAAAAAAAGCGGCACAGATTGCCAGAACAACAACTAAACACGGGCGCACACACACACAGAGAGAGACACACAAACGTAGAGAATTTGAGCTCTCCAGCTGTGTTGTTCTTGTTGCTGTCGGTTTCTTTCTCGTTCCTTTTGCCCTGCAATCAATAAAACGGATTAGGAATATCCTTTAAATGCGGCGCTTGGTGGAGGCTGCAGCACATACATACACGCACACTTGCACACTCATGCACACTGCAAATCTTTTACAATAACACAACACACACTACTGTATAAAATAGAAGAAATAAAAGTAGCGGCACTTCTTTCGTTTTTCGTAGAGCAAATTAGGAGTTGGTGGGTGACGGAGGCTGGAGAACACAAGGAGGAGACGAAAACAAAACCGAAAAACGCACACTCAGTCACGCACACACACGCACGCCACGTAGGGCGAAAGATTTACCGTTGGGTTACGCGACGGCGATGCTGGAAAAGTACGAACAAGAGGTGTAGGAGCAGGGCCCGAGAGCCGTGTCTCTCCTTTGGTTTCCTATTTATTTATCCAAATTCTTTGTGTCACTTGCACTTGCCAAACTTTGACCCAAACGACCTTGCATATAGAGTGTGTTTTTTTGGATTTATATGCGAAGCTAAAGTAACTTTTTAAAATGCAATTATCGCGTTCCGTTGATGTTTTTTTTCCTCTTGCAAGAAGAGGAACACACACGACGTTTAAAATTAACAAATTGATGCCGCCGCTTGGTTCTTCGTTTTACCAGCTTCTCCGTTGAGTTATCACGATTCCTTGTACTCGCCTTTAATGGTTAATGGTAATGGTTATTTTCCTGCTTGTTTGCTTCTTAAATTGCACGTTTAGCTACCGTTTTCAATCACAACACTTGCTCTTGTTTTTTTTTCTTATGTTTTGTGTTTTGGTTTACAGTAACATTCGAGTTTATGTTTTGCCGGCGAACTTTTAATTTCCTAAAAAAAAATGTTTTTACCGGCGTCTTTCTTTTCAGTTCGTTCACAACAACAACTACCCGCTGTCTTTAGATTTTGTATAGGGAAAACCCGGTGTTCAGTTTCCCAGTTACGACTTTTCCGTTTTCCGCGACGGAGCGGTACGATGTGGCGTCATGAAACGCGGAACAAATTTTTTTGAATTTACTGAACTCCTCTTTCTTATATACCGCAATTTCGGCCGACATTCGAGTTCGAAGTTCGAAAGAGTTTCGAACTGAGAGAGCGTGGAAGAGCGTGAGTTAACAGCAGTGTTTCCAGTTTATCTCATTTCAGGCTAGATGGGCCATTCCGAAAATGAGAGAGCTTAAGATATTAAATGTTTTGAAGATGCTAACGTGCAGTTCATTATGCAGCCCCCTTAACAATTATAATTAATTTTTAATTATATTTAACTAAAATAAATAATATTAACTAAAATATTTTTATTCCTTTCCGGCATTTCGATTAAAGATACAACTTAAGTATTAATTGAAATTATCTTGTATTTAAATATAATTTATTAAAAATATGGTGAGTAAATTTTTCATTTTTTTTTAATTTCTTACATATTTATATAAAACACATGATTAAAACATTAAAAATTTGTCTCAAAATTCAATGCAAGGCAAAATTAAATTAAAATTTTAAAAAGTATATAATTGTTGAAAATATATTCTTTGAATTTTTTATGTTACAATTATTTTTTGCAATAGCAATTCCAAACTAAGAACTCTAGGAAATTGTTAATAATTAAAAATCGTTTAAATCCATATCAAACTAAACTGATAACAAACATGCTGTTTCGTTCTCTTTGATTCTCTTTTTCGGCAGTTTGAATTCTCTTGTTCATGCCGCTCGGGTGGAAGCGAGATAGATGCAGCTGGTTCGAGTTCGAAGTTCGAACGCGTTTCGAATTGGGAGAGCGTGAGAACGTGAGAGCGTAAGATAACAGCAGTGTTCCAAGTTTAGCTTTTTTCAGGCTGATCTAGCATATTTAAATGGACAAGCTAAATTATTTTGATATTTTCGCTGATTTTCCAACAGTTCATTTGCTAGGAATTTAATTTTCTTTTAAAATATTGAATATTTCAGCAAAATAACAATAAGCTAGTGGAGTCACTTTGAGTTATTTCAAATGCTTTCCTTTTTCACTTATAATGCACAGGTGGAACCAGTTTTAAGTCAAAAGAACATCATATAAAAAATTTCGTATTAATGTTATTAATTACTTTAAATTAAATACTTAGCAAACTGTAATTAACCACATAATAATGTTGTAAGTTTTCTTGCATTTGAATTTGGTTTTTCTTAATTTTCAAACAGTGCTCGTTTTAGCTTGTTTTAGCTTCGAGGCTCGTCCCTTGGTAACATTGAAGAGAGATAACATTAACAGTTGGCTGCACAGACCATGTAGAATGTATGTAATGCTTGGTTAAAGTAATGTAAAATTTCAGGGCGGAGTAAGAAATAATTAAAATTAGATAAATAAATAAAATACAAGTTCTTAACATTTAAATAAATCAACAAATTTTAAAGATCATCACAATTTTAACATGAAAAAATATTTTTTTGCAAATAAACAAACCACCGATTTAATTAAATATAAATATAGGGCAGTATATAAGGTAGTATAAATAATAAAATAAAAATGTTAAAATGAAAGTGTACTAATATGTAAATAACAAATTTAAATATTTACCAATAATTCATAGACAACCATTTAAATAAATATAAATAAGTATTCGTGAATATTTTACTTCTGGAACATTAACATTTACATTGCCAGCATCAATGGGTGTTGCGCATCATGTTCTAGGAACATTTTTAATTTTTGTCAACATTTTAGTTAGCCTTCCGCAGGTTTAATTTAAGATTATACATAAATTGTTTTACAAAACTTTTTAGGGTGCTACAGAAATCCCTAGGGTTTCAATTTACATCTTTTAAATCATTTAAAAAAGTGCTTAAAATTATGAAATTGGATTTTTAATGTACCGAATTCAGTGTTCCTTTGTTTACTGCGTGTAATATAAATTTATATATTATATAGCTTAAATGGGAAAAATATCATGTATAATGTTTTAGCTAAATTTTAAGACTAGCTTAGAATATTGTATATTTTTATAGAATACTCTATGGTCTTTCTGTTAATTGTAAGCCTGCAGACGAATTCAACGAGAAGTAAAAGATCTATTTTTGTTTATACAAGTAAATTAACTTAAAAGACCAAAATAGAATGTTTAGTTAAAAATATTTACATTTATTTCGTTGTTTTTTTTTTTGTGGTTTCAGAAACCAATTCAGAAATTTTACAATTTTTATGAGTTCAAGCTTTGAGCATTTGGTTGAGAGTTGGTCGATTTCCGTATCCGGCGACACAGAGGGCAGCGCACAAAAGACACCAAGGTGCCTGGGATCATCCATCCGCATCCTTAATCCTGGGATAGTCCACGACACCGGGGAACCTCAAAAATACAGCCACAAATTCGGAAGAAGCTAGCGATGATGACATGGGGGAATCACACGGCGGTGATCAAATGGGCGTCATCCTCGTTGATCCGATCGGATTTCCCATTGACCTCGATCGTGTGATTCGACTCCGTGTCGCTGGGTTCCTGTTCGGCATCCTCTTCCTCTCATCATCGTTGTCACCCTGGGAGGAGAGGAGTTTTCCCCATTTTCCTGCTCCGGAGATTCACGCTCCTCGTTTTCCTCGTAGATCACGTCACAGCTGGTGGCAATCGATTTTGGAGGCGGCTTCTTCACCGATTTCCCACCGCCTTCCGGTCGCCATTTTGCTGCAATTCTGACATTTGGATTTGCATTTCACGCAGCGGTCGGTGAGCACATAGAGATCCCGCTCCTGACTCTCGCAGCGAGTCCTGAGCTCAGAGATCTCACGGAGGTCCTCGGCTCGGGGATCCCGGCGCTCGTATCTCATGCGCATCTCCTCGAATCTACGGAGAAAAGGGTTTAAGTTTTAATTTTAATCATAAAAGTGTTTAAAACAAAAGGACAGTGGATACTGACTTAGTGTACAACAGCCCACGACACGGAACGGAAAAGCCAATAGATAGTTAGGGGAAAATAGATTTAAAAGAGTTTTTCCAAGTTCTTAGTTCTGTTCTTTATACGATTTTGTTGTGAGTTAATTTATATTTTCTAACTCAAATTATTTTATGAAAAATTTAATTGTTGAGCATTAACCCTAAATTGAACAATCTTATAAAACATCAGATAAGTTTACATTGTAAACTTTAGAAAATTGATATGTACATACAAAGTGACAAAGATATAGTTATTTTGTAGACCTTAAGTTCAAAAGACATTTCGGGGTGTTCCAGAAATCTCTAAGGTTTCAATTTCAATATAAAACCTTAAGGGTTTACAATTATTAAATTCCATATGAAATAAATAATCTATATAATTTGAATTATTTAAAATAACAGAATCTACTATTCAATGCTTTTCAGTAAGACCCTTAGAAAAATATGTTCAAAGTCCCCCGAAAGAAAGCAGAATTAAGAACTGATTGAAGGGATTGGGTTTTTTGAGGGGTAGGGTATAGGGTAGGGTATAATAGGGTGTCTCAGGTGGGCTCTAATGGCCCCACTTACAGGTTGGTCAGGCAGCGGCACTTGCGGTGCAACTGCTCGATCTCGTTGGCATTGCTGATGTCGCGCTTGTCCAGCGCCGCCTTCTCGGCATCGTAGGCGGCCTTCAGGTCCTTGAGATTGCGCTGGTGCCGAAGTTCTACATCGCTGCGGATGCGGATGCAGGTTTTTGGGTTCAAATTCGGATTCGAGGACGTGTTTTTTTTGTGATTGTGGTTATTCAGGTTAGAATAGATGGGGTCAGAGGTTGGATACACACACATAGCGAGAAAGAGAAAGTAAAATATTAGGAGAATAAGTAACTGAGAAGGGTTTCTGAAAGCTTTTTAGGTTCTAAAATATTATGTGGGGATTTTTTCAGTCTATTAAAAAGTTGATATAAAATGTGTCTCTATTACAGTGAATTCAAAATAATAATGACTTAATCTTCGAACTCTAAATTAAAATATTTAGATTAAATTTATTGATCTATTCAAACCATATTTCAGATCGGAATAATGATATATTACAAACAGCAAAGTATGTTAATACTTCCTTGCAACATTTTGGGTACCTAAACTAGTATTTTCTTGTACCTATATTTACCAGATTACCCCTGGATTTAATAAAGGTCACAAGGTCAAGCTGTAACTGTTGTTAACTATCAGGGGGTTAACTTTTTTATTTTATTTGCGCATTAGGAGATGACGGTATTTGATATAGAACACAGCAACAATATTGAACACTAAGCATGCAAGGGCGATCAGCGGCGACATGGTCAGATACAGAACATATATGGTTGGCATATACGGCCACGCCCCCTTGGCCAAGGCCCACAACCAGGCTGGATGATATGTCGATCGCCCTAAATGCCGATCCATCATGCTGAATGAGTGGAAAAATAAAGTGTGAAACAAGAGAAATCGAGATGAACAAAGCCTCCAAAATGAAAATGAATGGGAAATGGGAAACTAAGACATTGAATATGCAAGGCAATGGTAACTAAGGCTTTCAGGCAATTTTATACTGAGGCAGTTGGTTAATATCACAGGTAATTTCACAGGTAATCTCCACTCACTTGAATCGTTCATCGGCAGCGGCCATTTTGGCGCGATGTCGTTCCACAAGTTCCTGCATTGCCTCATCCCTCTCCGCCTGCAGCTTGGTCTTTTGAGAGTCTATAAAAATATATAATATATTATGTATCAAAAGTGATTTCCCAAGATTTATTTGAAAGAAACACTCACCCAGCTCTTTGCGATGCGTTTCGACCATGTCCTGCGTGGATAGCTGCAGCTCCTTGGCAAATTCCTCCTTCACCTGACCCAGGCGTTCCCGGAATTTCTCCTCCATTTCGGTTTTCTCCGCCTCAAATTCCTGCTTCAGCCTCTGCTCCATTTCCACGCGTCGATCCTCCTCACGGCACATGGCATTCTGATACTCCCGATCCGCTCGATCCAAATGCATACGGGTCTGGAGCAAGGCATTATCGGAACGTTCACGTAGGCTGAGGAAATCCTGCTTCTTCAGATCGAGACTCTGGTGCAGATCCTCAATCTAAACGGGATTATTTTTATAACAGGACTTTAAAAGGACATAAGGTGTAACCTCCGCTCGCAGCTCCTCCTCGTTGGCGGTGTAACGATTGGTCAGTGCTCGAAGCTCCTCAATATGCTCATTCTGCAGCTTGTCCAAGGCCTCCCGACGCTCGTCCACATACACGGACTCCAGTTCATTTGTCAGTCTTGTCATCTCTGTACTATAGATGTTAAATTAATAACAAAGTTGTAGGTTAAAAGAGATTTTTCAACTTAGAAAATCATAAAAGAATATCTTTACTTACTAGAGTTTGTTTTCCCAGAAGGCGGCTGCTTCGTTGCGTACCTCATCGATTTTGTAGATCGTCTGACGCTCCTTGTCATAAATGGCACTTTAGGATAAATATAGCTTAAGATATCGGCTACAGTTCAGGGAGAATAAATCCTAGTTATACTTACTTATCACACTGATATTTTATCTTGTGCACAGCCTCGATCTGCGCCTCGAGATTATCATTGGCCGATTGCAGATCAGCCTTCAGGTTCTCGATACGATCCATGAGAGTCTGAATGGATTGCTCCTGCTCGCTGACCACACCTCGCAGTGAATTCACCTGCGCCTGGCAGGTGCGCAGATGATCTGCCTCCTTCCGCCGAGACTGCAACTCCTGCTCCAGTTCCTCCGCCTTGGCTGCAGCCTGTTTCCGCTCATAGTTGGACTTGTCCACCTTGTCCTTGCACTGGCGCTGCATTTGCCGCAGTTGCCACTCGCAGTCGGTCATCAGGGATTCCTCTTGCTCTAAATATTAAAGAGTTTTTGTAGTTTGTTTATTTTAATTTAATTTAAGGTACTAGTGACCCACCTCTATTGTGTGTCCTGAGCATTTCAAACTCCTTCTGCCACTTATCCTCGCAGATTTTACGCTCCGCCTCGGAGTTGTCCAGGGCGCTCTTCAGGATGCGTATTTGCTCCTCCAGCTCGGCCCGGATCTTCTCCACCTGTTGCCGCCATTCCTCAGCCTCGACTTGGGCACTGGCCAGTTGTGTTTGCAAACTGCCGGCCAGGATCTGATTTTGTTTGTACTTTTCGGTTAGTTCGTGGTACTTGGCTTCAAGTTCGTCTAGGGAAAGAAAGGAAAATTGTTTGAGATATCTTTAGACAGCTGCATATTTTAATGTGTATTAATTTCAGAGAACTTGCGCATGTGTGTGCTTTAGTTATTTATAAAATTATTTAATTAAGACTGCAATATATATATACTTACCATATTTACGCTGGAATTCATCTTGATCTTCGCTGTATTTGTGCCTTAAATGGACCTTTTCATCCTCGAGGAGGTGCAGCTTTTTCCGCACATATTCATCGTCCTTGTGAGCAGCACCCAGTTCGCCCTGGAGTCCTGAAATGTATTTTATTTAGATCTTAGTGATCCTAAAAGATTTACGATTATATATTCCACTCACTTTCCACATTCCATTGCTTGAGGGACAGTTCCTGTTCCAGAGTCTGGATCTTGAACTGCATATCTCCCACCTTGGCCTCCAGTTGATGTACATTTTTGTGGGCATCGTCCAATTGACTGCTAAATCGGGCTTTCTGCTGCTTCAGCTCCTTTCTGCAATATCGAGTACAGGGATGAGTAACACTCGGAATGGAATAGAGAATAGAGATAAATCCCTAGACAGATCAGCTCAACTGTCAGACGAATATTTCAGACACAAACTTGTCACTGAATAATCCCCCCCAACACAAAAACAATATGAATCACAAACGTGTTGAGCGCACGCAGCACGAATATAAATAAATAAATAAATAAATAAAAGTAAAACCGCAAAAGAATAATTATTATTATTCTATATATCGTATATAGATATCGCGCGTACCTATAGCTAGACATTTGCCTGACGTAATTTGGATGGAAAAGCTCGTTAAACCTGAATGAGGTGTAAAAACAGTGGGAATGTCTTCCTCAACCATAATTTGTTGAGATACAATATGTACACGGATATGTATACATATCTACGGATACACACGTAGACAAAGATACAGCAACACTTTTATATAATATATATAATATATGTAGATTTGTCTCTGTTCTGTTCTGTGCTTTGTTTTGTTTTGGCTTTTCAACGCAAAAATGAAATACGTTTTAATTGAATTTATCCTAGTCGATTCTTGGTTGCTGCGAAAATGCGCAAAGTTTATTTTTAAATCAACGACTTTTTGTTGGCGCATTTTGCCAAACTCTTTGTCGCTCTCTACGGCAAGTACAGTGCGTTTCGAAAGTGTCAAAGGGATGAATTAAAAATTAACAAAAAAGATAAGAAAGTTAAAATTATAAAGTAAATAAAGTGGTATTTGTAGAGGGTATATTTTTAAGATATCTTTTATTTGTATTAATTTGTTCTTCAGATTTTGATGTTTATAAGATACAAAATGAAATAAGTATATATAAGGAAGACAAATTGATTCAAAATTATAAAAAATTAGCATTTTTGAGATTTAAGAAGTTTAGAAATTTAATAATAAAATTGATAACAAAGGTACTTATAAGGTTCGTTTGTTTTTGATTCTAAAGAAAATATATTATGATACCTACATTTAGGTTCATAATAGTTTTCACTAATTCTTCTAGTTCTTTTTCTAATTATTTCGACTTGCAGGAAAAACTAGGTTTTGGAAAATTAACTGCTACTTCGGCGTTAATAATAAAGTCTTAAATCCCCATAAAACAATTAATTTATTATTTAAAAAAAGGTATATTTATATAGCTTTAATTTAATGTAACTTTTAAGTTAAAACACTTATACTTTTATAAAATGAAAAACTTCAGTGAGAAAAATAAATAAAGGTGTTTCAATCAAAGCTAAATCTGTCCCCTAAGTCTTTAAAAGGTAAATGGTATAAATGGTAGTTTCGTTGTAAATTCGGATTTTTGTTTAAATAACCTATTGCTATTAATCTAATACTTTTTCTGACTGAAAATATGATCACTTTGTTAATTTTGTGATATATCCAGAGTAATTCAATGCTATATCTTTGGGAATTTTATAAAAGTAAAGCTAATAAATATACGAATATCTATAAATTTGATTGTGTAATAAAAATATTTTCGTGAAATATTTTTTTAATGCAAAGTTGCTCACTTTGATTTTAGTCACACATTTTAGCAAGTGTTATTACGTTTTGTGCGGCACTGTCCACATTATGTGGACATATGTTTCGTATAGACAATGAGAAGTGAATTTATCAAATTTTGTGACACGCGGTCTTAGTTGTAGAGATAGTCAGACGGAGATATAGATAGATAGATATATGGGGAGAGACAAAGCAAAAGAGACAGATGCAACTCGTGTACTTAGATTGAAAGTTATTTCAATTATTTTTGGCAAGAGCAGCATCTCTGCCAGCGATGCCTGTGAACTTTCCGTTGCGAATGCTTGGATTCTTTTGTGTTTATGCCCAAGTTGCTCATTAAATTGGATTAGATAAACAGATAAACAATGGGTGTTGAAGGGGAGGAAGCAGTAGCATCAGCAGCAGCATCAGCAGAAGCTTCAGGAAAGATGGCCATTAGTTATTCAAAGGAAATTACGCATACGCCGCATGTGCCCGCGGAATAAACAATCATTTAATGCTACAGCACCTCTCTCTCTCTCTCCCGTACGTCCAATCAATTATCCACCAAAATCAAGAACAACCCAAATAAAATTCCACAAGTGCACGCCCCCTTCTTGCCCATTTCCTCACAAGTTCGCTCTAATTATGAACGTTTTCTAAAATTTACTTGTCTCTTTTTTATTTTTCTGCAGTCCGCCTGAAATAAGCAAAGCGAATAAAACTAGAGCAGGCATATCGTGTTCTATGCACATCAGAAAATATGATTGAGAAAAAACCGACAAGTCGAAGCAGTGGATACTCTGGAAAATTACTACAAAATATCTAAAGATAATAAGTGGAATTACTCAGCATGTCTGTCGCAGAAAACTTCTATATTACTTAAAACAAATGTATACTAATTAGGTATTCATTTATTAGAGATTTCTCATAATCCAAATATTAATTTTTTTATGTCTAACCTCAGGCTCTATACCCTCTGTCAGTGTATGGCAAAAAACAAGCGTGGGAAATGGTCTACATGTTGCCAAAAAAGAATTGTCGGCTAAGAGGAAGAACGCCGCAAAACGAGAAATGACGAAGTGAATTTATTTTTGCCTCCGTACAAGTGTTCGTTCAACTGATTTTCAACCAAAAATCCCAATGTTTATTATTATTGAAACACGAACAAATTTACATAAATATAATTTGTCGAAATAATTTTCGCCATTTAAATATGAGACACTTGCCGCACCGGCTGTCATAATCTGTCATATCGAACGAAGGCCAAACAAAGCCAAAGAAAATGCCACTAAGCGATATCTTTCACATTACGTATACGTAATGAGAGAAACAAGTGGGATTTTCTAAGGAATTTATTTCTATAAATATGTTATTTGTTAAGAAGACGTTGTGAAGGTAGATGATCCATCAAAACTGATCACATGAAAGGTCTGCCATTATTTCTTGACAATTTCCATCTCTACAAATGTAGTTTTTTGTATTCTTAACGCATTTTTAATTAAATATATAAATATTCCTTAATCCATTAAACTATTTTTCTTGAATTCAAAATATTTGAAAGCAGATTTGATTGGCAGATGCCAGAATATATTCAGAGCCAGTATTTATACGTGTTGATCCATTTAAAAATAGGCGCCCCTGACTACTGGAAACGCAAATCAAACAGGAAAATCAAATTGGCAAGAGAAATCAGAGTGAAAGCAACAAACGAGGGGGAATTTTCCGCTGAATGTGTGATCCGTGTGAGAAACCAGAGCACCGGGCATGTTCCATGACACAAAGATCAAGATAAATTGCTGCATTTTGCCATGTTAATGCTGAAATTGTTGGCATGCGCAAGTGATTAAATAAATACGTCGCACTTTAAGCCGCAAAAATTGTGGGTACTAGCCAAATATTAAGTATACGCCCGAGGGAATATGCATTAAAAATCAATTTGCATTTATTTATATGCTTCATTTAGTAATTGTAGTTGAAAGCAATGTTTCTATCAATTATTAAATTAAACGATTGATACAATATCCAAATTGGATAATTTTTGTAATTATTCTTTCTTTTGTTTACCTTTTTCATGGCATTAAAACAATAAAGTTTGAATAAAATGTTTAAATGTGGGAAATGTTTAGTTACTTATGATTTGAAATAGTTTTGAATGTCCTAAGGCTCATTTAAATCTGTATTTGGATTCATTAAAATGTATAAAAACAATATAACAAGAAAAATGTCCCATGTCCTTAACGTTTCCCACTGTTTCCCTTCTTAACTATCAAAAAACCCTTAATAAATTAATTTTAGATTGAATCAAGATGTTTCATTTAGCTCACCTGAGTTCCTGGTTGTCGAATGGACTCTCCTGGCGCACTGGCTTATTCAGGACACTCCCATCCTCGATGATCTCAATGCTGGGCGGCATATCCTGGCCGATGCAACTGTCGTCCCAGCTGCGCTGCTTGGGACTGCCGCTCCGACTGCGACTGCGACCCTCGACGTGGATGGGAATAAAGTGCACATTGCCCAGGCTGTTGCCCCCAGCTCCATTGGCGATATTGATGTTGATCTGCGAATCGGCGCCATTTGTGGTCTGTGCTGCTGATGCACCGCCTCCTGCTGTCGCTGCTGCTGATGCTGATGCGGATGCTGATGCTGATGCAGATGTGGTCGTGCTGGCGGTCGTTGACTCCACAACCACATCCGGCAGACTGATGCTCTCGATGCATACCAATCGCTCGCTGAACTCGCTGTCGTCGAGTTCGTCGCACTGCAGAAAGGTCTCCTCGCAGTCGGTGGAGTTGCCGTCCCGGATGAAGTTCAGGTGGTTGGTCAGGTGATGCGAGGAGCTGCGTGGCGGTGGCTGTGGCGGCAACTGTTGCTGCGGTGGCAACTCCTGATCCCCAATCCCCGAGTCGGCATAGCTGCTGCTCAGATTGGAGTCGGATTTTAGGGCGCTCCTCTCGCTGCTTGCCGACTGGCGAGAGGTGCCATTGGTTGGCTGATGTCCAGCATGTGGTTCATATTCCAAGTCAACGGCTTCATCTACTTCGTCATCGTCCTCATCGTGCTCCTCCTCCTCTGCTTCCTCTTGAACATTCTCCAGCTTGACATGACTCAATCGTGTCCAGGGGCGATTATTCATATTTTGATATATGGTCGCTGGTATATCGGAAGCAAAGACCTCATCTTCCAGGGTCTCTATATGCGCCTCATTGAGTTCTTCAATGTTTAGCGAGTCTTCTGCATGATTATTCAGTTCGTAGAAGGTTTCGTGCTGCTCCGCCTCTCCCTCCGATGACGTCGACGAATGGAAACTGCAATCCTCGACCGTGATTTTGGGCACTTCCGGTGATTTCTGATGACGCGGTGGTGCCTGCGGTGGCTGCGTACTCACGACCGACTCACGAAACTCACGCGGCGTGCTGGCACGCGAACTGTGCGCCGAACCGATTTCATTCGGTTTGGCGCTAGTCTGGCCCATGGTTATGTCACTTAATTGCTGATGCTGTTGCTGCTGCTCCTGCTGCTGCTGCTGCTGCTGCTGTTGCGATGCTTGATGTTGCTGCTGCTGCTTGGCCAGATGTTGCTGCGGGGCACTTGCATTGCCGGCTGTCGGCAACTGTTGCTCCTCCGGCTGCTGCTGTTGTGTTTCCCGCTCAACGCTTGCCGCTTGAATGAGCTGCTCGTTGGCGAACGAACGCATTGCTCTTGGCTTTTCACACTCACTCTCGGCCGGAAAATGCTGGCGCTCTGCCGGAAAATGGTCGTGCTCTTTGATAGCTCCAGCTGGGTTACTGTGCTCTTCGATAGTACTCTTCGCTCTTTGCAGATCGTCGCCGAATTCGTTCTCTGGGCAACTATTATTAGCCAAAGTCATTTGATAAGTATTCGGGGATGCGAGCGCGGGGTCGGAGTTCGTTTCAAGGTGTGCCGCGCTGGCGATTACGTCTTTGGCATTACTTTTATTCGATTTATTTGTCTTGCCAGTGGCTGCGATTAGGTGATGTTGCTGATGTTGCTGCTGTTGCTGCTGCTGCTGCTGCTGCTTTTGACGCTGGTGGTTTCGACCACGCGCCATGAAAATGTCGGTAAGGAACTCGCGACTCTTTTGCAGAGTCCTGCGCTTTTTCGGCTCGGTTTCCGGGCTCTTCGTGGTGCTATCCCCGCTCGAGGGACGTCGGAATCCTCCCAGGGAAAGCAACGATTGTCGCTTTTGGGTATCGTTCTCGGTACGCTGGTCGATTTGTGGCTCGCTAATGCCAATTAATGACCGATCTCGACCACCACCAATGTTTCGGCTCGCGATCGCGCTGGCTGCCTCGTTTTGACTGCTGGGAGCCGCATTTCGACCATCCGTCGTCGTCCTCGCATCTCCGTCCGTTTTATTTATATACGAAAGATTGTCGGAGCGGCCATTAGCAGCTGTTTTTGCTAATTTTAAACGCTCTTCGTCGCCGCTGCCAGCTTCATTATCGCCATCGTTGTTGTCATCATCATCGCTGGCAAAGTCCTCCAGCTCTTCGATCACCGCCCGTCGGGCTGCTCTTTCCGGCTGCTCTTCCTGGCTAAGAGCAGTGGCATTACTTTTGCCACATTTCGAGGGTCTTTCATCCTCATCACTTGTGTCGTAGACTTTCGCCTTGTGCGTTTTTCCACGACGTGATCTTCGCAGCAAATTGAACATATTTCTCTCTTAAAAGTGTCTCTTGGGATTATATTTTCAATATTATTATTCTCTCTTGTTGTATATCCATTAATTCCTCTGCGGTTTGGCTGATATTTCGTTGTGTGTTTTTCGTTTTATAAACAAATCGTTGCTTTGTTGCAATTATTTCGTATTTTTATGTGTATTTTAAATGCTTTCAACCTGTTGAAAATATTTTACAAATATTACATTAGTTTCGGTCGCTCGAGTGTGTGTTTGTGTGGGCACGAGATCTAATTGGCCTTAATTATAATGCTTGATCTTGAGTTTACCCCGCCCGCCCAATAAGATTCGCTCTTTGGATCATCTGGCGGAACTGGCGCTTCGACTTGGATGGCGGATAAACTGCGACTGTCGCTCAGTAAAACGCTCCATGCACTGCGTCCACTGTCGCGATCTTAATAATCATCATCACCAGGGGGAGCTCATCATCATGATGATGACAATGCTGGACAAATGTGAGTAACAAACACTCAAGCGAGCAAACTGTGAGTACTAGTAGCATGTGTGTACAAGTTCACTGGGAGAAATAAATTGGGGAGAACTATTTTATTTTATGTTTATTCTATTATTATTATTCCTTGTAAGTGAGCTGAAAACATTCGCATTTCTGGTTTATATTTTCATTATTTTTGTAATACTTTAAGTTTTATAAAACACCATTGATCAAATAGGGTTTGAGCAAGTTTACCGTAAAAAAATTAATTTTCAAAGCTATTAAAAACAATAATTAAGTTTAAACTCTTAATAATTATTCTCACATTTGTTCAGAATATTTAATTTTTAGCATTCACCTTTCATTACATAAGATTTAGTGGGTTAAAAATGTAATTTCAAATGATGGAAGTGATATTCAAATGTATCTCATATATTTCAATTGATATAAAAGCTTCAATTTATAAATTAATCTTATAAAATGTGTTTTTTTAACTTTTAACATTTATAATTTCTTTTGCTAAAAATATTTAATATTTATCATAAACCTTTAATTAATTTATAACAATAATTTCAAATCATGAAAGTGGTACTAAAATGTATGTAATTTTATTTCCGAAATTTAAATCTAAAAATGTAGAAACACGCTTCTTAAATATTGTTTTAACTGCACAATTGGCTCGAAAGCACATTTCATAATTTGTTTTAATTATCGTACACACATTCACAACTAAATACAATGCTTATGGTTAGCTTGATAATTGCTTATGAATATTAATTGATGGGATAGAAAGCCAGAGTCAGCCGCCTGCTTTGACCTATTCCTATTGCCATTGTTGTGGCTTTAGCTATATATGCGTCATTATGTGTCATCTGATAAGCAACAAAAACAACAACCACAACAATTTCAACAACAACAAATTTTGCTAATTGTGGAATGCGCATTGTTGAAAGTTCGAGCTGCTGAATATTGCCGAATGAAAAGTGAAAATTATTATATATGTTTTGGTGAATGCATGTTATAAATTGATTATTTATGAATGTAATATCTTCCTTATTTATTAAATATGATAAAGTAGCTATTAATACATATGTGTTTATCGGTTTTAACAACCGAGAAACTTGATATTAAATAATTTATATTTTTAATTTATTGTTTTTGCTAAAAAACACAATTTTTATCAGTTTCAGAGCTATCAATATCCAATGATAATAAACATATTTGTGGACAAAATAGTATAATTTTCTATTTCAGTCAACTCCTAAAAGTATGCCAACACTTTCCTCCATTTGATTTTCATTATTAGCTAGCTAAATAATTTTTTCCAGTGCATTGCAAAAAAGATCTGCACTTGAGTCAGCATGGAACTCCTTAGTCATTAGTGTTTCCTTTCAAACCAAAGTTCAAATTGCAACGAGCAGAGCCAAAAATAAACTAATCACGTTGCACCGCGCCCAACAACATCATAATCCGAGTGCAATTGCCTCAAAACTCTTGATTTTCCCCTCATTTTCCATGCATCTATTTCAAGTTCAGGATGTTCGCATCGCTCTCTCTCTCTATCTTTCTGGCTTTTCCATCCATTTTGCACATAAACGAACCAATTATAGCCAGCAATAAAATAAACCACAAGAAAAAGACTCGCTGATTCTCCAAGCATATATCTATAAATAAATATATATCCGAATCGTTGCTCTTGTAGGGCCTTTTCACATTGACGTCACCATAAAAGAGGCGAACGAAGGCGCCAAGATCATTGTAATAGATGTTCGGGAAGATATATGGATAATTAAATTTGTAGATAAAATTCGGAGAAAGACAAATAAATACTGTTTAAATAGATAAATAAATAAATATATACAAAAATGTCTGTATTTATCGTACTTTTAAATCCAAAATTAAATGCTATATTTAACTTTAATTTATAGATACATTCTTTAAACGGAATACTATCACAATCATCATTAATAAAATTAATGATTCGGGGAACAGTTTGCAATTTGTGGGATTTCCACAAACTCAGCGGCGCAATTTGCACACATTTCGGCTTCCAATGGACGGAATTTATTTTGAAAATACAAAATAGATAAAAGCCCAGCAAAATCAACAAATAGAAAATTGGAAAAGGCCAGGGAAAAGAGGGGATTTCTGAGTGCATGACGTTCTTACTTTTGGCACGAAAGCCCAAAACGGAAATGATGCAGGTGAAATATATATGGAAGATCAAGATCCACTATGAATTGATATACATATTTAATATAGAAACATTTCCCTTACAATTTCTAATACTAACAAAACATATACCTGTTTATCAAAAGCGCTGACCCACTTCATAAGTCGTTCAAGTTTACAGCCTTCAACCAGATGGCACACACTTTATATCATTGTTGAATTTACATCTTATATCTTTGCCAATTATTGCACAAGTTCAGAAAAATAAAATAAAAATGAAAATCATAAATATTTTCAACGTGAAGTAAAGCAGACACCCCAAACCAAAAGGCAACAAAAATGAGATACTTTAATGATAAATGAACAATAAATTTTGCACTTGGCCAATGCCATTGCCCCGACCTATAGGCCCAAAACTCAGTCAATAAAATCCATTAGAGAATTCTTTCCGAACAAAAATGTGTTAAAATATTTATATTTTTTTGTTGGCGAATGGAGAGGCGGTGGCATAAAATTAATAGAAATTAAAATAATATGACAAAAAAAGAGGCACAAGAAAAATATGCCATGAATATTTGGCATGCTTTTGTCGACGTTTTAACATATGTTTGTGATCGAGCGGAAATATATGGCCATACATATTAACACGTTTAGATAGGACAGTGTGTTTCAGATTTGTAAGCTTTCTGGACTGCGATTTAATAGTCGGGTTTTATAGAAATTTAGTTATTATTACTGTGGTTAAACTATTTAGTTTAAGTTAAATACATTTAATTCGATATATTAATAATAAAATATTTTATAATATTTAGGAGTGGGTCAATTTCCATGAGTGAGTTTAATAAAAGGAAACTAGACAGAATTTCATTTTATTATATCTAATTAAATTTAAATTTTACTCAAATCTTAAGAAACCTTTTAGAGATATATTTATAATTAAGATAGTTTCAAAATTAATATTTTTATTTTATTTATTATTCATTTGTTATTTTATGTTTATCCCTTAACTGACTATTTTGAAGAGATCCGACTTATGTATGCCAAGATCACACACAGATTATTATAAAGAAAAGAAACTAATTTTGGTATACCGAAGTTTGTATACTACTGCAGATTGCAGTTCATTCATTAATAATTAATACAATTTACATTATTTATATTTATATTAATAAGCAACTAAGTAATTTAGCATTTTATTACATTACCCTATCCATCTTATATTGACAGCTTTAAATTCAAAGAATTGCATTTAATGATCGTTTCTATGACAACTGATACGTATGACAAAGCAAATATCTGAAAAAATTAAAAATTACCATTTTTAAGCGAAGAGATCTTGAAAATCAGGGAAGATATAGTTTTTCTTGTATTAATTTTCCAATTAACTGATATAATTGTCTGATGAGACGTTCCGACATATATTCGAGTTAGAGTATATAGAAAAGTACTGAAAAGTGTTGCATAGTTATATTGATTAAAAACTGAGAGACTATTTTGCGTAGACACGGACAGAGGGCGGACAGATGGACATTGATAGATCGACTCGGCTGTTGATGCTGATCAGGAATATTTATATACTTTATAAGGTTGGAAATTACTTCTTAACTGTGTTGCAATTTTCTGACTAAAATGTTAAAAGGACAGAAAGGTGAAGCTTTTTACTGTTTAACCATCTGGTTAGTAACAAATAATTATAAATTTAACTAAGTAAGGCAAATCTTTGAATAACGGGCATTTTTTAAATCTTGTATTATTATTAATGTTCATAATCTACATTAACATTAAGGTTAATACATTTCTATATATATTTTTGAAACGCACTGTTTGTGGCTATATGATATATAAGTACATAAGTTTTGAAAAAAAAACACTTGATGCTTGACGCGTGGAGACAAAAATCCACTTGAAGTTTATTTTCTCATTTCGAGAATGACAAGCACACCATGGGAGTCCAAGCAGTAGAATGGGATGAAAAATACACCGAGTATGGAGATATTAGATTTAAAGATTTGGAGTATAGGATTTTCCTAGCTAGGTGCAACTCTCGGTGGCCTCTGCCGGGCACTTTCCCTTCACTCTCGGCATGTATTTACTTTTCCCTGCTCAGTGCTCGGTGCTCGGTGGCTTGCTGGCTTTTGCTGGCTCTTTTTTGTTTGTTTGTCGCCGCCCACACTGCCGACCTGGCACTGGGCCAACTGACATTGACTGATGCCAGATCAGGCGGCTGATCCAAAACATTCTGGCCACAGAGTTCCCGTCGCCCAGGGACGGGTTAATGTTGTTCTTAGCTGCTCGGATTTTCCTCGTCTCGAGCTTTTTTCCTGCTGCTTCTGCTGCTGCTGATGATACACGCTCTCTGAACTGCTGGATTTTGTTTTTTGTTTTTCCCACTCCGACTGCCAGGGGGAGGTGATAAAAACGGCTTACTTACACATAAAACAGATATGTAAATCAAAGCGAGCGGGTGGATAATAAATTTGAAAATTAGTGAAACTATTAAAGCATGCGACAGGCGACAAAAAATCATTGCGACACATCTGCCTTGAGGTGTTGAGCGAATTAATTGAGTGTATCTTGGCCAAAGCCAAAACAATAATAAATATGTAATCCGCATTTACAGGAAATAAATTTATTAATTGTAATTTAAGTGTTAAAAATGGGAAAATGGGCTGTAGAAAATCTGATTGTTTCTAGTTCATAAAGATTGAAAGTAAAAGCATGAGAAAAACAACTCGGAATAAAATCAAATTGAATCGATTTAAGTTTAGTTAGTTTAAGCTTTATCTTTACAAGTACTTTACTATACTCTTTAAAACTGCGGATTGCTATTTAAAATATATTTCTTCTTTAACCCTAAGTCCAACAAAATTTATTCCGTTCTGACACTTTAGAAGTATATATTATTTCTACAGAATTTACTGTATATTATTTTAATAATTCTTAAAGCAAGGTAATTAAATTATTAATACAATTATTTGTGTTTGTAACTTACTTGAGTCACTTACAAAAATTATTTATATGATTATTTACACAATTACACAAAAAACACACACACACGAATAAACAGTTCGGCCAATTGAATTTGATTGAAGCAATTAATATTTGTCATGTGAATTATTATTTGTAAAATTAAGTTTTTGTTTTCATTTCCGCTGACACACGCCTGTAGGGTGCTGAGGTTTAGGAAAATTTAAAGGGAGGGTGGGGAAAACACTTGTTAATCACTGACAGCAGGTGACACATGCCCAAGCGCATCAACTGCGCAAGGCGGAAAATCCATTTTCACTTTTCACAATCTTCGCTCACGGCGGCGCTCGCGTTCCAAACGGCGCAACAAACGGTAAACGACTGACTGCTGATCTGACGAAGGAAAAGCCCCGATGCCAAGGAAAATTGTCGCTCGGCGGTGGCTATCGATAGATGCCCGCCGATCGTTGGCCAAAATGGAATGGAATTAGTTAACCGAAACAGATCTCGATTGTTGCACAAACATATGTACACATTTGGAGCGGGAGCAAAGCACAGCTGACCCAAAATGTGGCAAAATATTTACCAAGTCAATATGATTCCGATCATCAGCGGGAAAATGCAGTAAAAGCACAACTTTAAATCGGTCAATTGAACAAAACGGATTCAATGCGAATCCATTAACATAATAATGGATATTTAATAGATTAAACCGATTTGATTTTGTTTTCATTTCCTTAATGCATGTTTTTGTTTACAAACAGACACTTGTTTCAGTACATGGGGTTATATTGAATATAAATTATTTAATACAACAATTAAAATTTTATGTATTGAGCATTTCATGTAAAATTAAAATAAAAGTTTGTATTTATTTATGTTGTATAGAAAATAAATTCATAAATTAGGAAAATTTAATTTAGTATCAAAAAGACAATATGTGACGTACTTTACCCAAAGATTTGTTTATCAAGATAAAAAAAAATATTTTGTAATCTCAGAAAATATTACTTTAATAGACGTTTACAATAAAAGACATGGGAATGTTATAAAGATAAAAATACATAATAAAATCCTCCAGCTTGGCTCAATTTGACTTATTATCAGAAGGGCAAGCGAGATGGAGGGAGAATTTCTTTATCACATTAAAAATGTCATTGATTATCATACTGTAATCAAGTTTTCGTAGAACATCTTCAGAAATATAATTATTATTTGCTTTTCTACGGCTTTATGAATTTTATAATACATCATGTTATAACATAATATTTTCCTAATCATCTGGGAAATTTTATTTAAAATTGAAACACACCAAATTTTGGTAACTCTTTCTCTAAAATCTATAGATCATGGATTCTAAAGAGGTTCTACATAAATGGACTGAAAGATGTGGAATGCAGATCTGTTGTTAAGTAGATATTTCTAATTACCTCTTTTATAAATTTTTGGTTGTTCAAAGCAATAATACACTAAAAGCCATCTATAAAAATGAAATTCTTCCCTTACCCTTTTACGTAGTTTAATTTCCAAATTGCAATTAAATAAATTAATTTTACAAATCATTTGACAGCTGTTATAGTGAATGAATTAACAGGTGGAATAAGTGGGAAGCGTTTCTGGAAAAGCACTTAGTGATTGACATTCAACTCAGTCAGTTTTACCTCAACTTGCCAACAGAATTGAAAGAAAGTTTGAGCCAAACCAAAAATGAAAGCAATAATAAAAGTATTCACAGTATTCATTTTAAGCCTGCACTTGATGGAAAGTACTAAACCGGAACCCCAGCTGAGATTTCTGAACAAACTCGTCAAGATAAATGAAAATCTGAAGATGATTGAGACATTCATAACTGTTCAACACCATTTGGACAAAAACTGCACTCTCCAACACTGGAATTCAGAGAAAATACCAATTCTACGAACAACCGAGCTGTCCTCTTTCGAGGTGAGGAGATTCATAAATAAATTTGTGTTGGCCATGGTCTGCATAGACGGCGATTTGGATCACACGCTCCTCAATGCCTTGGCAAAAATCTTGGAAAACCTAAGACAGGAACGAATCATACTATGGACTCAAAGGGAACCAACAAGGGAGTTCTTGGCACACCTTTTAGATCAAGCCATCATGTTTAAGTTTGTTCAGATACTAGTTGTGTCTGTGGATCATCATTCAAAGAGAGGGCTGTCATTTCATCGGTTGCATCCTTTTCTTTCTCCCCGGTTTAAAAAAGTTAAAAATATTTTAAATATCAAAAGCCTGGTCTTCCCAGACCCTAGTTTCAATTATAAAGGCTTGCCGGCCATTGTGAAGATCTATCCCTCTGACTTTACAGTCCCCATGAAAATTAAAACTGGCTTCTTTCCCATTTCCCAAGGCGAAGACATGGAAATGATAGAGTTTGCCCGAAGATATAACTTGGATCTAAAATTGTATGATAAAAATGTATCAGATCATTTCGATATTCAGTTAAGTCCACGATTCATCAAACGAGATGATATTTCGGCTCAAACGGACTTTGTGAATCCCATCTCCGCAGCCTCGCTGTTGGTCGTGGTGCCATGCCGTAAACATCGGAGCATGAAGGAGTTCCTGAGAAATCTTGATTTGCAAACTTGGCTATTGTATCTCCTGCCAGTGTACGGTATCTTTGTGGTGGTGGAGACTCTTATTCTAGTAATGACTTACCGAATGTCCGGCCAGATATATCGCCTGACAAACCTGAATCCACTGTTGAATCTGCGAGCCTTCCGGGCCATTTTGGGCCTTCCATTTCCGGAGTTACACAGGACGAGCCTTTCCCTGCGCCAACTCTCTCTGGCCATTACAATTTTCGGATTTATATTAGCAATTTTATGAGCTGCAAGCTGAGTGCCATGCTAACCAAGCCCCTAGAACGCCCCGAAGTTACCAATTTCGAAGAGCTAAGGGCAGCGGATTGACAACAATTACGGATCCGTATGCTCATTCCTTTATTGAGAAAAACATTGATCCACAGTTCTTCCATCATGTTATACCAAAATTTTTGATTTTGAAGCCAGTTGATCGCCTGAGATTCGTTTTCTCGTTAAACGACAGCTATGGCTATATAATGTACTCAAAGAATTGGCCATATTACCAAAAGGTTCTACGCTCCATGGGAAAAATGAATCATTGCTCGTCAAATGATTTGATTATAGCTCAGAATATGCCGAGGATGTATGTCTTGGAGAGCAATTCCATCTTTAAGTGGATGCTGAGTAGATTTGTGATGTATGTTCAAGAGGCGGGCCTTACCCATCATTGGAATATGAACATTCCTCTACTCAGATAAAAGTCTTTAATTTAACCACTCAACGAAATGTGACTCTGAGCCAGTTCCTTTATCCCTGGGCACCTGAAATACCTGTGGCACCTGCTTGCTATTGGTTATGGTATTGCCACAGTGGCTTTTCTTGTAGAGATCCTTTTAAAATTAAAATTGCGAGCTGTCGTAAGGAGGAGCCACCTGTGTAAATTACAAAAATGTTCTCTTAAATGCTTTACTTATCAATGTTGTTAAATTGTTAGAACAAATCTTATCATAATTGTTTTTATTATATATGTATGTATGTTATATATGTATGTATGTTAAAATTTAATAAAGTGGTTTCTGTCTTGCTGTAAAAATTGTGTTTCATTCCAATAAATGTTACGAATTTTCGTCAATCTATTGCATAAAAATTGTTTAGGTGTCTATTCGATCCATGTAAATTAGAACTGAATATATGGTCTTGAATATATGGTCCTGTTCCCTATGTCATTACGAACAAATAGCCCTCGATGAGGGATTTTCAATAGAGTTTATAACTATGATGTCATAAGTCATTAACCTAAAATCTTAGTCACATTAATTACCTTAAAGCGCTGAAAGCGCGTTCTTGTATAAATAGAAAGTAAGTATAATAAGGCGTAAGGATAATACTCTCTTAAAAATACTATCAAATTAATAAGAACTAATTTTTCAGCAACGAAACTTTAGGAGATTAGAATTATTTCCCACTTATATGATAATGGTCACTATTTATGTATAATGTATTACTAATTACTACTTATTTAAAATGTTGTTCCGAAATTAAATAATAAATGTTATTTTGTTTAAAATAAAAGATCTTTCAAAATTTAACTTTACAGTTGCTTCCTTATTTGTTGTATATTTAGTAGTTAGTTTTAATAGCTCTAATCATTAAATGATATTTAGTTGAAGTAGGGATACAATGGGTTGGATAGAAAATATAATAGATAAGTAAGGCTAGTAAAAGAGATACAAAACGGTCTAAATAACTAAAGATTAATCATAACAGAACCTAAAGTGCCCTTATATTTATTATTTTTAAATTTATGGTGTTTTTCATGGTTTAAACTGTTTTAAAATCCTTGTAACATATACCGAAATTATATCAGGTATTAATTACTTTTTTTCATAAATCCAATTTCCCGTAAGTCTGCCCTAATAAAGGAAAAGCCCACAAATACACATGAATTACATTTATTTATGCAAAACAGAAGTTACAAATATGAATACAGATTTAAGGACAATACATTTTTGAACAAATTTACATGGTTATGTGATATTTAGTGTGTTTAAATTTTAACTTGTTAAAAAGGTAAGATTTTTTGAATAATAAGTGACTAACATTTGATTACAACACCGATTAATTTCGAGTATATCGTGGCCATCGGTTCTCTTCTTCACTTGATTAAAAAAGACCTCAAAGAAAAACACGATAGAAGCAATGCCATAGCCCAATAGAAGAAGGTACCACTGCAACTTTAGATGTTCCAAGGATAGGGGAACTAGTTTCGGTTTAATATTTGCAGGAATCTGGATGTTCATGGCTCGCTTTGCATAATGGTATTTATTTTGGTTCCAATACTGTGAAATACCAGCTCATGAAATCGCGTCAAGGCCCTGGATAGGGGCCACTTATATATTGAGTTCTTCTGCAATACGGATGTCATGGGAATATTTTCTATGATGCCGAGATCTGGAGAGACGCAAAAAGCTTTTTGTCCTTTCGAAATTTGATAATTATTTATATGTGCCCAGTTTTGTTTGAAAACAATGTAGGCGTAGCTTCCGTTCAGTGCCACCAGCATTGCGGCGCGTTCTACTCTTGGCTTACTTATTGCGATTGGTACAACTCGGCGAAAGAAGTCGGCCTGGAGATCCGACTCGATGAAGGATCGAACTTCCGGATCGACAATCACGGCCATTCCACTGGCCCGCAACTCCTCAAAGTTTGTCACCTGGGCATGGTGCGAGTGCTTCGTGAGCAGAGCACTCAACTTGCAGTTGAAGAAAGTGCTGAAGACCATCCCGAAAATGCTCATGGCCATGAAGAGCTGACGGAGTGATAGGGTGTCCCTGCGGCTGACTGGATAGGACATGCCAAGGATGGCTCTAAAGGCTCGAAGGTTAACGAATAGATTTATTCTGGTCGCACGGTAGACTCGCCCTGACATCCGATAGGTACCATTATTATAAAGGTCTCTACCAGACCAACAAGGCGTACACACAAAAGATGTACAATAACCAGGTCCGGAAATCGAGTTGCTTGAAGACTTCCTTAAGACTCAGTTCTCGGCCACAGGGCACCATAATTATAAGGGATGCTAAAAGGAATGGACTCACATATGCCAAGTGGTCTGCCAATGTGTTCTTCGAGAGAAATTGAGCAGATAATTGAATGTCAACGGAGCCTGCATCGGTCTGGTTGCTCATACGCAATTTTAGAGTAAGATTATACTTGCGTGCAAACTCAAAGACTTCCTTGCCTTCGATTTTTATGTAGCTCAGGCTATTAGGCCTTGTAATATTTGTAGCAACCACAGCCGTTCTTCCCATAAAGTCAATATTATTCGGAATAAAAAGTTTCCACTGACGGCTAGAAATGTTCCTAAGCCGAACAAAGTGTGGGCTTGGATGAAGATTCATTCGATATATGACCGGGGGATATTCCCCCATTTGCAATAGAAGCATTTGGGTGAATTTTAATTCCTCAATCTGCTTTAGAATTAACTGCAAAAAGTCTTCGCTGGGTTGCAGTTGCATCCACAAAATTATACGCTTATCTTGAACGCTGTCGTAGATCTTTGCCAAATGAATTAGTAGCCTGGCATCGAAATCATAATCCATGCAGACTAGGGCTACAGCTATATTGTTGAAGTTGCCTCTCATTGTGATTGGGGTTTGCTCATTGAAACGCTGGATAGGGATGTTCCCGGATTCCAATCCTGAGGGGTGCAATTCTTATCCTTGCTGTTCTGCAGTACAGTTATCGTTTGTATGGACCGATCTTTTTCAATGGATTTAATAAGCTTATTCAGAAATTTCAACTGTCTTTTGTTCAAGCTTTCAGTTATAACTTGGCTTAGAAAAAGCATCAAGAGAGTTCCCAGTATGAGCCTCATAGCTGATTCTGTAGCGAATTTAAAGCAAGTACTAACGTCCAGTCTTTTTCGAATTGAACTAATTATACCTAGTTGAAACTATTTCTTCTTGATGTAATGGAAAGCAATTAACGTAATAAGAAAAAACAAGACGCACTGAAGGCCAAATCTAATGATCTAATTCATAAATGTCAATCAACGGATAAAAGCTCTTAGGGAAATTATAAAAAATGACATTTTACATATTAAAAATACTACATATTACACAATCACTATTTATGGACTCGAAATGGAGTTCAAACGGTACAACAATAAATTGAAAGGAAAACTTAAAATTAATTAAACTCATATAATTAGTTAAGTCAGTAAATAAACTAGCCATTGATGTGTCAGACTAAGGTTTATTGTATTATATTTTCCATTGAAATTAATACATTTTGAAAATAATTAAAGAATAAAAATATTCTATTTTGGTATGTTTTAACAAATATATTTAAAATCTCTAATAAGCCCCGAAATATTGAATTTTAAAATGATCTTTTTGAAGTGATTGTGTTAACAAACAAGAACGGAAGCTGTATATAAATATATACCCTTGTACATTCAACTGCGATCACCAGGAATTAATATAATATAAACTATATTTAATTATGTTTAAAAATGTTGATAAATGGTTGACAAATTGTTGATGAATATTGATAAATCATTGATGATTTGTTGTTGACAGCATAGGAAACGACTATGTTAAATTCATCACAAGTTTGTATGGACATTTATAGATTATTTCATTTACATTACCGACCTTTATGTTGGTGAATCGCTCATGAATTACTGATGAATGGTACTGCAGAGTACACTACAATAACACATACAACAATAAAGTTTACTCAAATATTTAGATCAATCAAGATCGATATAGATCTAATTAAATTAATAGCATTCAAGATTTATTAAAGGCACACATATGTATTTTATTCGCTTTACATTTTCAGGTAAATATATAAGTATAATGAGTTTAAGACACCAAAACATTTTCTCTTATCTCCGGGCTCTTATTCATTTTTCTTAGACCTCTGAGCGATAGCTCAATGATAAAGACAAAAGTGGCTAGTCCATAACCACATCCAAGGAGAAGCCACAACCAGTTCAGGTCCGCAACACGCAATGGGACTTCCTTTGGCCTGGGCTTAATTGCAGCGATATATTGAGAGTTCGTGTAAAATTAGGGTATTTGACTTAACCAATGTTTATGGATTCCTGTTTCATGGACTCTTAACAAAAATTGAGATAGAGGCCAGTCATAGATCGAATTTTTCTGTAGGATATGCATTCTCGGCATACCATGGATGATGGTAAGGTCTTCGGACTCGCAGAAAACCTTTCGTCCCTGAGATTTCTGAAGACTGTTCAAGGCGATCCAGTGGTCTGAGACGATAGTAAATGCAAAACTGTCATTTAGCAAGAGCAACAATCGTGCACTTTCTTTAGTTGAGACCTCATTTATTCGAATAATTGTTTCGTTGAAATAGTGATGGCCTAACTCATTTTCAATATAAGTACGTATCCTGGTATTCACTATAACGGTCAAGTCACTGTCCCGTAACTCCTGGAAATTCGTCACCTGTGGATAGTGCGAGTGTTTGGTGAGCAAGGCGGTCAACTTGCAGCTGAAGAAGTTACTAAATATCAGTCCAAAAACACTGATGGCCAAGAAGAGTTGTCGGAGCGAGGGGTTCGCTCGGTGGCTGGTGGGAAAGGACATGCCCAGAATGGCTCTGATGGCTCGCAGATTCAGGAGCGAGAGATTCAGACTGGTTAGTTGGTAAGAGTGCCCAATTATTCGGTTCGTGACCATCAATATAATTGTCTCAACCACCACAAAGGTAGCATACACTGGCAATGTATAAAGGCTGGATTTTATATCGAGTTGCTTAAGGATATCGCCAATGGTCCTCATCCTGCTGCATGGAACCACGACCTTGAGCTCGTATAAGTCAAAGGGGTTTAGAAACTTCAGATCCATCTTGGTGGAGGTCATCTGGGAAGTCATTAGGATGTCAGGAGTTATATTAAATGCAGAAGAACGATTTCTGGGCGATGGCACCATTTAAGAGTTAAATTATATTTTCGTGCAAACATAATGATTTGGCGATTCGTATTTCGCCATTGGAGAGGCGCTGAAATATTATCGTCTGGTAGATAATCGATTGCATCGTATTCAGGTAGCACATTGGCTACTCTGCCGGTAAAGTCAATGGAAAACTTAGGGAAAGCAGCCATCTTGTCAACTTGAACAATTTCTGAATTTGGAAGGGCAAGAAAGTGTGAACGCTTAGGATCTCCCCCTGTTCCCTACTAACTTCCAAAATAAGTACTTGCAAATATTGATGCAGCTTGGCTTGATGGGAGATGCGTTGAAGCATCTGTTGGGTGACTTCCTTTTGTATCCACAAGACAATCCGTTCATATCGCATACCATCAAAGACTTCGGCCAGAGTATCGACGAGGCTGAGGTCAGAGTCCTTGCCAATGCAGACTAGGCCAACGCACAAGGTATTGAAGTGACCTCTCACCTTTACTCGAGAAGGAATGCGCACGGTGGGTATTCCTCGATGATTCCAGTTTGCAGCTCACAGTTCCTATCCTGATGATGCTGTAATATCACCATTGTTTCAATGGAGTCCGGGTATTCCCAACAGTTTGTTCAGAAACTCTAATTGGGCTCCGAGTATTCGAACGAGTTAGTTGAATGATTAACATCACAGCTATTGCGACTATGAGTGATGTAGCCATGTTGCCTTACTTCTTTCATGCGTGTAAAGGATGAATTGAATGGCTAACCAATTTGTACTGCTTCAGGAGCGAAGTATTCTAAGCAAAAGTTGAAGCTCGTCGAATGACAGCTGTCGGACGATGGACTTTCTGATGTCAATTCCGTTAATGCGTACTCATTAACTTAATAAGATAGCTTAAGCGAATTGGAAGGACTTTTAAAATACCCACGAAAGCTTAATTTTCTTTCAACTTGCTACTAAGGAAACGTTTATATATAATTTCGATCATAATCTCTAAAAGTAAATGTCCTTAAACCACATCATTATCTCTGATAATTGTGATCACCTGCAGTGGGCAAATGAAATTGGCGGATGTAGTATCACAAAGGTCTGCATAGTGCTGGTAACTTTTGTGTACCATTCATCCTGACGTGGAGTCTCAATCTATGAAATATGATCTTCATATAATGTTCCGTGTCCCAGTTCTTGATGATTTTATATGGCATACTTAAACTTTGGCAACTCTTGTTTCCAGGATATGGTATGGAAAAGGTGTTTTCAAACATTGGAAGAAACCGAAGAGATCGGATAGGAAATTCGAAAAGATCAGTGACACTCCGTTGAAAATAAAATTTTTGATGACAATTTCTTTATCTTTGATATCACTCCCTATATAAACACAATATAGACACACATTAAGATTTATTCGAAAAAGACTTGTTATGATGTACAGATTAAACAGAGATTGATTATCTATAATCATTGTAGTATAATATGAAATACATAATAATTGGAATTAGCATCTTATACTTCTATGTTGCGTTCTATATGAGATGCTCTATTTTTTCCTAAAAACACCTCGACAATAAATACAAGAGTAGCTGTTCCGTAGCCAAGAATGAAAAGGTAACCCAGCCATTTTAGGTTATCATAACTTAGGGGTCGTACATTGATATTTTTATCACCACCCCGTGTCAAATTAAAAAGCTTCGTTACATTCTGAAACGACATTTTCTTCAATTTTTCCGTAATACCAGCCTCCTGTATCCTCGTCACCAATCTGGAAAGCGCCCACTTGAAGACAGAATTCTTTTGGAGGCGATACACCCTGGGCAGATTATCAACAATAACCAAGTCCTTGGAGGTACAGAAAGCATTTGAGAATGAGGCCACTTGAGGTAACGGTAATTTTCCTCAAATATAATATACGCGTAGCTGTCGTTCAGTGAAAATAACAATTTGATCCGTTCCATACTGTAGACAGATTTTGACAAGGGTAACACCCGGTGAAGGAAGTCCGCCTCCAGTGCAGTCTCGATGAAGGATTGTACCCTTCTGTCCATGATCACAGTCAGTCCACTGTCCCGCAACTCCTCAAAGTTGGTCACCTGACCCTGGTAGGGATGCTTGGTGAGAAGGGCGCTCAGTTTGCAGTTGAAGAAGCTGCTGAAGACCATTCCAAAGATGCTCATGGCAACGAAGAGCTGACGGAGCGACAGGCTAGCCCTTCGGCTGATGGGGAACGACATGCCAAGGAGGGCTCGGAAGGCCCTGAAGTTTTGATATATCCCAGAGAAGATAATCCGTGGGGTTGGTTCCGTATCCGACAGGTTACTACATATATGCCAGTTTCGACACAATCAGCGTGCAGTATAGGTAAATTATGTAGAGAAACCATGTCTTCACATCCATTTGATGGAAAATATCTGTCAGGCTCATCTCCTTAGCGCAGGGTACAAGAAGGATCAAAGAGGATGAGCTATATGGATTAACAAAGCCTAAGTGAGCTGCCGAATTGTTAATGCTTATGAATCGCATGCTCAAGTCTATGTCAACGTTTTTTGTATCGGAGTTGCTTCTTTCGAGGTAATTCAAACTTAAGTTGGTCTGGCGTGCAAACTCAGATATTTCCATATTTTGTGGTGGTGATAATAGAATATCTCTACTTGATTTTTGAAAATCCCAGGATTTTACAATAGCAGTCATTCCATGAAAATTAATTTTATTGTAAAATACTGTTCCTTTAAAACTCAAAACATTTGCAATGTTTTGCCAGTGTGAATACGGAAATAGGTTTAGGCGCCGAGAAGATATCGGTCCACTTGGCCCATCCTCCACCTCCAGCAACAGCAACTCAAGAAATTTATCTTCACTGGCCCTCTTGGAGACTTTGTCGAGGAACTCCTTGGTTGCTTTTTCTTGCGTCCATAAAACTATTCTTGAGCTACGCATATTTTCATTAGTCACTGACACTGTGTTGAAGAGCTCGGTTTTGAAGTCATTACCCATGCAGACCAGCGTCACTGCGAAGTGGTTAAAGTGTTTTCTCAAAACTATTTTGGTCGTCTCATTAACCCGTAAGGTAGGTTTTCCAGAATTCCAATCATGTAGCATGCAATTTGTATCCAGGTGGTGATGAAGTATTACCAAGGTCTGGATTGGTTTCTCCCGCTCGATCCTCTGAATAAGTTTATTAAAAAATTCTAACTGATGATGCACTATCTGCTCTGCAAGGACCTCGCTTAGCAGAAGAATCAGTAGAATCCTTTTCAGACTCGACATAGTGACTACTATTTAGAAGTGGTATAGGTCAACTGTCTAGTGCGGTAAAAAATGAACTAATGTCGTTAGCAAGTCCCTAAGTCTTTGGTGGAATGTATCAAACGACAGGTGTCACTTTGCCACCCAGCGGCACCCAGTTCATCAACTTAAGAGAGTAGGTATCAAAAAGGATAATCTTAAATCAGAGTAATCGAATTTTAAATTTTTATTGACTTGTCAGATAAACTTGTACATAACATTTATATATATTTTGACATGTACTGTGCTGTCATAATAACATATTAATATAGTAACACTAAGTTTTAAGATGCTTAAGCCACTGAGATGTGAACTTTGGGTGCCGAACTCCTTTTGTTTCGATTCCCTAAAAGGATCTCAATGATGAATGTTACTAGGGCAAGCCCGTGCCCACATCCAAGAACACACCATACCCATTTCAAGTGGCCGATGGATAAAGGTACATCCTTCCGCTCTTCGTTTTCACAGATTGAGTGATGAATACTCTGCGTGCATAGTAAGACGAATTTGTCATCCAATGGTCAATGAATCCAGCCTCCTTGAGTCGAACCAAGTACCTCACTAAGGGTCTTTCAAATATGGAATTGTTTTTCAATTCATACATCATGGGCAGGCGCTGGATGAAGGTCAGGTTCGCTGAGTTGCACATAGTCGTTCGTCCAAATGCCTTCTAATATTTATCATAGGTTTCTTCTTGGTCCGAAAACATGAAGTAAGCGTTGCTAAAGTTAATAGTAAGTAGCATTTGGCCCTGAACTTCTTCGGGCACATATGTAAGCTTTGTCAAGTTGAGTTTTGGTCCAAAACCACTTTCTATAAATCGGCGATAAGTCTGAGCCGCTATCACGGGTAAGCCACTGGCCTGCAGCTCCTCGAAGTTTTCGACATGGGCATGGTGAGGGTGCTTCGTGAGCAGAGCACTCAATTTACAGCTGAAGAAGTTGCTAAAGATAAGCCCAAAAATGCTGATGGCCAGTGATAGCTGCCGGAGTGAGAGGCTGCCTCTCCGACTGATGGGGAACGACATGCCCAGAATGGCACGGAAGGCACGAAGGTTCACCAGGGGATTCAGTACGGTCAGACGGTAGGCTTGACCGGATATCCTATAGGTCACCACGAGAATGAACGTCTCCGTCGCCACGAATAAGGCATAGACTAAGACAATGTGGGCGAGCCATGATCTGATATCAATGCGCATGAAGGCTTCCCCAACACTCCATTGCCTGGCACAGGGCACAATTACCTTCAGCGAAGTTATGTCATAGGGACTAACATTGGTCATATTAGACATGTTTAATTGCATTCGCGTTCTCAATCGGATGTCAGGCGTCACGGATGTATTGGAAGAGTTCAACACTCTGAGACTCAGGTTATATTTCAAGGCAAATTGGATAATCGCAAAGTCCTGTATGCGGGTTACGGGCATAGTGTCGTTAGAGGGCAGCTTTTTGTAGAATTTAAAGGGCGAATTCCAGTTAGGACGAATATATGTAGTTCTGCCCTTAAAATTCAATTCCGGAGCATAGAAAATTGAGTCCTTAATGGTAAGTAAGTTATCAACTCGATGAAATTGCGGATGGGGAAAGGCTCCAGACGGAGAATAGAAGTTGTGGGTGGCTCTCTCACCTCAAGGATAAGCATCCACAGAAAGTGATACTCTTCAACTTTGTTCAAGATCTTCTGGAGCAGCTCTTCTGTCATGTCAATTTGAATCAACAACAAAATTGGGGCTTGCCGCATCCCATCGAAGTTTTTGGCCAGCGTGTCCAGGAGACCTGTATCAGAATCCCTACATATACAGACTACAGCCAATGTGTCATGGTTGAAGTGCTTTCTAACATCGATGTGAATTAGTTCATTCGTTCGGAGATAGGGCATATCAAGTTGATTCCATTCATGAAGTACACAGATTCTATTCTGATGATGTTGAAGTAGCAAGACAGTTTCAATTTGATCTTCTGAATGAATCCTTTTCACAAGCTTAGAAAGAAATCCTAGCTGTGAATTCTCCGAGGCTCCCGGAGTAAGCTTTAAGATAGCCATTAGCAATGCGAGAAAAGTTATCCTACAAAAAATGTCCATATTTTATCACCGCTTTCAAGTAAAACTTCAAGTAGACTGAACGATGTAGGTATCCTTATATCCATAAGTGAGCAATTTCCATACTCAATTGTGTACTATACAAAATGACAGAAGACACTTAATGTGTGCAATCTACCCATTAAGTTAATAAGGAAGGAAGCCAGTGAGTTATATCTGATTAAATAAGTTAATGGGTTTAATGGAAAATTTGTACCATCAGGGTGTACATTAAGGGATGCTGGAATTATCTCCTTGTGTTTTGTGTTAAGAAAAATAAGAGAACGTATAACTATTGACAGAAATAGTGGCAAATATATAATATATAACCATAAAATTGACAAGAAAATGTACCTAAGACCAGTTCCATACATTGTCCTTATTCTATACCCATCCCAAACTGTGAAATCCATTCGAACTTCACTTATAAACTTTTCCATTACAATTCGTAAAGAATTTGGATTATTGTTCATTACACCAAAAAATTTATTTTATAAGATAATCAAAACCAAAAAGTAATGAAAAATAAAGTATTAACTAATATTAAGCATAACAAGAAAGGAAGCTAACTTCGGCACGCCGAAGTTAATATACCCTTGCAGATAAAAATTCTATGACTAGGAATCCATACCATATAAATTATATATATATGTGTTTAAAAACAATGAAGTAATACCTGTTTTCATTTCATTCACCTATACATATTATATTTGCAGCTTTATATTCACAGATTTGTATTTTTCTTCTACATCAAACGATCGTTTGTATGGCACCTATATGATATAGTCGTCCGATGAAATTTGACACAAAATTTAAGAATAATATACAATGGCCATAGCTCAAATTTAATGAAAATCTGTTGAAAACTGAAAAAGTTATAATTTTTAATTGTATTAATTTCTCGATTGTTCCTATGGGAGCTTTATGATATAGTAGTCCGATTTTTATAAAATTTTTCACAAAATTGAACAGTTTGATAAAATGGCTATATTTTAAATTTGATCCAATTCTATTGAAAACTGAAAATGTTAAATTTTTTTTTTGTAAAAACGTTCCGATCATTCCTATGGCAGCTATATGATCCGTCCGATCCGGCCGGTTCCGACATATATACGAGTGAAAGTAACTACAAAGTTTCATTCAGATAGCTTCAAAACTGAGAGACTAGTTTGCGTAGAAACGGACAGACGGACAAAAGGACAGACGGACATGGCTAGATCGGCTCGGCTGTTGATCCTGATCAAGAATATATATACTTTATATAGTCGTGGTGGCTCCGTCACTGCGTTGCAAACTTCTGACTAAAATTATAATACCCTGCAAGGGTATAAAAATATACGTATTGCAGATATTTAATATGCAAATATTAAATCGATATGTGTCCGCCAAACGGAGCTATTTTCCTTTCTGGTTTCGACCAAATGATTTGCTCCTGGCTAAACCCTAGGGCCAAGATGTAATCGTTTAATGGAAGTAAGCCACTATTCCGTCACTTTCCTTACTCCACCATAAAATATCCTTAAACTCGTAATTGATATTTGTAAGCAACACCAAATTTTATTAAACTGAATAAATAGAATTACAATTACAGTTACATAGAAGTTGATATTGTGAATAAATAATTACACTCTATGCCCCAGAGAATCGTGCTCTAGGAATCTGTTGTTCCATCCAATTCCGGACAAATCCCAAAAGCAGCTCTATTAGGAATACTATAAGAGATATTGCGTAGCCAATGATAAGCAGGGGCCACAGCCAGTTGAAGTGCTCGATGGAGAGTGGAACTGCCTCTTGCTTGACCGCTGATTCGGCAGTCACATTGAGCACCTTTCCAATCTTAATAATCATGTCTCTATTCCAGCGCAGATGAATACCGCTTTCATAGATCCAGTGGAAAATTTTCGAAGTGGCCACTTATACAAGGAGTTTGGTGGCAAGAAAAACATTTTCGGCAAGTTCGAGAGAATGGTCAGATTTCCGGCGTCGCAAAGTACCTTCCGACCCAAGGACTTCTGATATTTGTCAAGCATGAAAGAGATGTCTTTGAAGACAATATAAGCGTAACTGTCGTTTAGGGACAGAAGCAATTTGAATTGTTCTCTTGCGTCCAAGCTAATGGTTTTGGGTATAATAGTCTTCAGGAAATAGCGATCAATGTCCTCCTTTATATAATTCTTAAGATCCTTATCGATCACGACTGGCATCCCACTAAGTCGTAATTGCTCCAAGTTTTGAATCTGAGCGTACCGGGTGTGCCTCGTTAGCAATGCACTCAGCTTGCAGGCGAAGAAGTTGCTAAACACGAATCCGAAGATGCTCAGGACCAGGAAGAGCTGTTGAAGCGAGAAGCTCCACCTGCGACAAAGCGGAAAGGACATGCCCAGGATGGCGGCGAAGCCCGTAGATTCACAAGTGGATTCAGGAAGCTCAAGCGGTGGGCTCGGCCAGTCACGCGATAAATAGTGTAGTGCATTAGCCACTCAACCGACACAAATGTGGCATACACGGGTAGAATGTACAGGAGCCAATCGTGGAATTCCAGCAGCTTGAAGACATCCTGGATAGGCCTTTCCTTTCCGCAGGGAACCATACAATTAGAGACACAATTGTGAAGGGATTAGCACTCTCTGCGATGTCTCTTATGGTAATCAGCCGCGGACTCAGTTGCAGATCAAAATGGCCTATCGCATGACCAAGAGTATTGCCCTGGTAAAATTTTAGACTCAAGTTCCTTCTTAGCGAAAACTCCACAATCGGTCTATCTTCATCAGTGTTTATGGCTAAACTTCTCTTTGGTCCATAGCTAATGTTATATTGAAGAATAGAGTTCTTTTTCCGCAGCACAATAGCCTCCTTTCCATAAAAGTTCAAGCGTTGGACGTGAAAACTATCGCCAACCTTGGAGGGATCATCAACTAGAACGAAACGAGGTCTTGGATACGGCATAAGGCGATAGATCTTCACCGATGCATTTCCTAATCTGACAGTTTCCAGGACAAGCATTCGGTCAAATAGGTATTTCTCCGCCATCGTGCAAACCTTTTCCATTAATTCTTTAGTGGCTTTCACTTGCATCCACAAAATGATTCGTTCCTGTCGCATGTGATTAAAGGTGTTTGCCAAATTATTGAGCAGTCCTACATCAGATTCCTGGCTAATGCATATTACGGCCATTGTGTAATATTGGTTAAGACTTCTTTTTATTTCTAAAGTGGACAAATCTGTCGAGCGAACTATTGGCATGTCACGTGGCTTCCAATCCTCAATTAGACAATTGTTTGCCCCGTGATGTTGAAGTAAATAAATCGTATTGACTTCTTGACCTTTTTAATAACTTTGAGAAATTGGCTCAGAAATCTTAGTTGAGGATAAGGCTGCTCTTGACTCAAGGGCGAATTAAGCAGGAGAATCAGCAATACCGTCCTTATGTAGTACATGACTGGATGATGCCGAGTTCAGGGGTAAGACCTTTACGAAGTAGTGTTTAGAATGTACTAAAATGTACTAGCATTTTATAATTGCTTTGAAGGGAGACATTACTATCTGATTTAATGCCAAGCTACCTTCAATGTCAGGAAAGTCAGAAAGTTTAAATTTGATTGAAGCTCACTTAGTTTAATCAGTTGTCAATTACATTTGTTTTTCTTTGCTTACGAACTCGACATGTAGATTGAATCATTTAATTGAAGGCTGTGGCATGAAAACTAATCGTGGCCTTAGCATTGGCAAAGTCTTTATTGATTCGTGGAAATATTGCTATAATTAGATAGTGATATACGGTATAAAACGAAAAGTGAGACAATGCTGCTGTGAATAATGATGAAGAAACAAACTCTGGAAAGACAGCTGACCCAAATATTCCCCAGAATTTCCTATCCATTTGAGAGACATAAAATATTAGCTGATAGATGGATGGGCGAAGATCATTTGTATTTCAGTTTGATATCCGCTGATTGTTGCAATTTTTGCCAGAATATCGTGATGACCATAAAATATTACCGCAAATAATCTCACATCTGTCCGACTGCCATTCTGCTGGCTGTGTCTGGCGGAGAGCCACAGACAGTCATTAATCAGGCGGCAAATTGTCACAATTTGTGGCAATTGTTTGTCTGTATTTGTGCCGCTGTAATTATGACAATTTTGCTTAATTGTTTTTGTTGCGGTCACCGTTGCCATTTTTTTTTTGTTCACATATCATTGTTTACATTTAGCAATTGTTGTTGTTTCTGTTGCATCGCAAGTCGCTCATTCGCTTTGGCTTAACGATGCTAATTTGATTAATTTCCCTTTGGCCGACAGACAGCGGCCGACACACGTCGTATACGTAATGCGCATAATGCGCCCGTTACAGTTTATGAAACGTTAATTAGGACCGATAATTGCCAGGGCATGGGAGAATGTTAATTGGAGCACGGCACGCCGCTTACACGGATTGGATGAAGCCCAGTCCGATTCAATGGAATGTCGATTGTGAGCGATTATGACGGCATGCAGTTACAACTAATTGTATCCTGGCTAAGCATAATACGGGGGCCTTTTGGAGATAATGTCTGCTTGACTGGTGGCTTGGTTGATAACAATGCCAGTTAATATTTAATTTTTATGCAATGAACCTTCTGCTCGTTAAAATCGGCATTAGTACTTATATGCTATGAAATATTTATTTTGCAATTTAATGTATAAACAAATTAGGAATCGAAATGAGATCGAAATGTCTTAACTGTAGGGTTATAGTAATGTAATAATTATTGTCCGCCATCCATATGTCGGTTGTAAATCGATCATTTGGCGGCCTCAAAGCCACACGAAAAAATTATGGGAAAATTCATGAAAAATTTAATAAACAAATCTGATTATGCGTCGGGCACAGAGACACTCTGTCGTACACTCTCACACTCGCAACAGTCGCTCCGTTCAATTTAGAAACCGCAATTTGTATTTTCCTCTATCCGATATACATATAGGCGTCATCATGTATATATATATAAATGTTTTCAGTCCAATTTCCAGTGCTGACAAATGCAAAAACCAGCCTTTTCCATCGGTACACTCTAAATGTTATTTATAATAGAATTTATGCCTAGATGCCGGCCATCGGGCATCCATGGACCAGTCTGAAATGGACCAAATGCAAATGGCAGCCTGTCGCCAGCGTTCCAATTTTGTTCATGTATCAGATTTTAGTACCCTCTACCCACAAATTACGTAAAGTTTACTGTTTTGTTAGTTCATGGGGTTTTAAAATCATAGATCTGCAAAATCAGGTCCACATTTCTCAGGTTTCTCTTTTCTTAATAGGTCTGGTAACACCCCGTGACATTAGATACTTCGAGCCGGATCTTTGCAGGATTATTTTTGAAAACCAAGGAAGTTACTTGGGGTCAATATTTTTACATACAAACTAAAAAGAAAAAATATACATTACATTACACTTAAGAAACACTTTGCTCTCCTTAATTTCTTTCCAATTACGAAATTGCTTACATTTTGAATTTAAATAAGGGGAAGCTTTTGTGCCAGATGATCCAGCACTTGTCCCATTATTTGTTTTCATTCTCCCAGCTTGGGGGCAACCACAAAATTCAGCAACAGCAATGGCGGACGGCGTTATAATGAACCATTTTGTGGCCAGAAATAGGGCGGGAAAAGAACGGCCAAAATATTGGCAAAAAAATTTCCCGATTTCCTTTTCGCGAGATGCATTTTCAAATGTTTCATAAATTGAAAACGAAATTGAAATGGACACTGGGCAAATAGTGTTTGATATTATATTAAAATAAAGTCATAAATTGGGCAACTGTGTATGTTGTCCACCTCGGTTCCCACTTTTACCTATCCCCATGTTATCCTTCCCCATTTTCCTTTCCCACATTCTGTTTCCTTGTGTGCGTGTGCCCCGAAGCGTTAAAATTGCATGAAAGCAAATCTCAATGCATTTATGCGCTGTTGTGGCGCCGCCATTAACACGGTCCGACATCGGTGGAAGGAGCTGAGTGGGGGGCACGATGATGGTGGCGGCGCCCTGTCCATTGCGTTGTCAGCGATGGTGTTGGCCTTACAACAATGCCCGTTGGCGGCTTGTGTCAACAGCTGTTGCACCGCCGCGCTCCTCTGGAGTTGCATCATTTTTGGCCTTTGCTGTCCAGCATCATCCACCCACACAAACAGAAACGCAAACCCAAACGCACACGCAAAATGTAAAACAAAACGGAACAACAGGGGCAGAAAATGAATGCATTGGCAAAAGTCAATTTAATTACAAACAGGAGTTTTTAAATTTAAATCAACCCGCCTGTATGGATGCCCCTTTTTGATGATTTACAATCAAATTAGTAAGAGGAGTAGCATGGCAGAGAAAGAAAATTCCCAATAGAATTTGCTTTTTAAAATTGTAAATAAAATATAAACTAGGAGTGTATTTTAATGTAAATTAAAACATTTTAAGAAACATTGTTTAGATTTATCCTTGATGCTATTCCTATCAAGATTTTAGGCATAGCCTTCATATATGATTTAACTTCATAAATAAGCTCAAATTCGCTCTCAGAAATATTTCCATTACACATTTAATTGTCTTTTTTTTTTGCTCAGTGTGGAGAATTACTCTTTAAACTTAAGTTAACTTTAAATATTTTAGTATCTCTCTAGCTATACATTTTTTCTGTTTGTGTTGCGTGCATGTAAATATAGTTCACACGGCCACTAAAACGGAAATCACTACACCACACACACACACTCCGCGCTCATATAAAACGAAGCGGTGTCTGGGTGTTAGTGTGCCACTGCAGGCGCTGCAAAGTATGCTACGAAATATTTTCAGTTTCATGCGCCAAGGCTCTACATTCATTGTGCTTGTATGTATGTGTGCGTGGCTCGGCACCCGCCCCCCTTACGGCCCTTGCTTGCGGCAGAAAAATGGAATTGTTTATTTGCTTTCGCCTTTTCTTATTTAAAACTATTTTATGTGCCTGCTGTCCCAGCGTAAACTTTTGCCAAAACGATAGAAAGTGCAGAAAAAAGAGTGGCGGCGGTGGGACAGGGAAAGTTCCCGGACAAGGAGAGAGGACGAGCAACTGGAGTGTGAAACGTTTTCACTTCCGTGTTCCTTCGGTCCAAGTCCCCTGCTCCTCCGTCACCTCCCTCCTGCAGCACTTTTCTTAACATGCACATAAAGTTTAGTCGATCCTGTGCGGTTGTTGGTGCTGCCCGATGCTCCTTCTGCTGGTGCTGCTGCTGCTCCTTGTGCTGCTGGCCATGGCTGGTGGTCCAAAATCCCATTTGGCACTGAATTGTGTGCGCACATTGAATTTGTAGCAAGCTTAAAACCGGAGCAATCTATGGGCATTAATAGATATTTTATCTCTGCATGTGTGTGCCCGAGTATTTATACGACTCGTTTTTGTGCAGTGTAATTGAATTGCAAGTGTGGAAATTCTGTGTTGCCTTTCCGGGCTCGGCTTCGTAAACTGAAGGGGACATGGGTTAGCCTACACGCAGATATAAGGTACTTAACTTCGAAACTAAATTAAAAATATCCTGGTAGTTTGAAGAAATTGCAACAAAATTACTTTACAATTAAGCTAAAATAATATTATTATTACTTAAAAAGGAAAAAAGGCAAATTGAATGGTATTTTTATAGTTTATATTCTAGATTACATTATCTTAAAAAATTAGAAGTTTGCCCTTTCATACACTATTTTAATATGTATATTAATTATTACTCACAAATGAAATTTGATGTGATTATAATATTAAATGAGCAGAGATTAATCGGTAATCGAGTGCAATTTCTTAAGCTTATTTTATAAACAAATAATCAACTTTCTTTCTGTGCATTAGAGGTACTCCATCGGGGGCAGCTGAAGATAGCCAACGGTTTATGACGTGTTTATTCGCCACAACAATTGCGACACAATTGTGCCACATGCAGTGACATTTATGTGACCAACTCGAGTGCGAACGAGATGGATAGCGGGGCCGAGAGCGAGTGTTGTCTATGAGTTATGGCTCTTCAAGCGGCAACTGCAACTGCTGCTGTTGCTGGTGCTGTTGCTGCTGTTGCTGCTGCTGCAACGCTGACACATTTAACTGGGTGTGTGATAAATGAAGCATGCCAAATGCCAAGGAAAGCCAAGTCCAGGCACGTAACAATGCCGCTACCTTCGAGTG